TGTTGGTGAGAACAACCGGTGAGGGAGCCGAATTTTGGATACGAAGAGACGGTGAATGAGGGTGTGGATTGTTGAAAAAAAAAATTTTTTCAACTTTGTTTTTCTCCTTGTATAGAACATAGGATACTGCCCCGTGGATCAATGGAGGGACCTCATTGAGCCGCACATCAGTTGGCCAACAGTATGATCATGTCAATAATAAGCTGCCGTGATCGGCGAACCGCAGGTTGACCGGGGAATCAGTTTTAAAGTTGCAAGTTGGCTGAGCAAATTGATTCAATATAGTGAGTGGTCACTGGTGAGTGGTGACACACCCAAGGTCCCCTCAAGCACGCCATTTCATTCGGCTGGAAAAGGGTGCCCGTACCATACATGACTCCCGAAAAGTGCAGCAGAATGCAGTGTGTACGGAGAAAGAAGAGAAAAAAAAAACAACCAACCAATGCTAGTGCAATGCATTGCACATGCCCCCCCCCTCCCCGCCCCGGCGGGCCCTGCCCCTGCGGCCGATGAGATCATTGCGCTTTAACCGATTTGACACTAGCGAGTCAAATCATGTTTCACCTTGCATCCCAGCGGGCAATGTGGCTGGCTCTGCACTACTCACTAGTCCCGGGGCCCGCCCCAGTTTTGACTCGGATGATTTCCTTCGGTTGAGCGCAGCAGCATCGCCAGGTTGGTCACATTGGGACAAAATTGAAAGAAGTATGAGTATGATGGGGACGAGGGGTCAGGAAGAGTGCTGTGATGGAGGTAATGGGGTACAGTACTATCAGTACTAGTTCAGGGTAGTTAGGGTAGTTAGCAGTTAGTTAGTCTGAGTATGCCATGATATTATGTAAATTTTGCTCTGTTTGTCTCCCTCCACTTTGATGTCACACCCACCTCCAATTCCATCACTTCCACCACTTCCACACTGCCACACTGCCACACATCCATGATCTCTCCTGAGATCTGTTCATCACCTGAGTGCGTGTCGACAAGAGGATCAAAACAATGCTGTCTATGCATGTTTCAGCCAGAGTAGCTAACCATAGAACCGTGTTTGACATGGCGACCAATTGCCGCGTCATTGAGCCAGTCCAGGCGGTTGGCTCACCCCAATCGGCTTGCTTCCTACCCACGGCAAACGGCGCAGTCAGGCGGCTAGAATGCCTAGTAGTATGTACTGTACATATACCTAGTACTGTACATGTACTAGACAGATCTTGATAGGTGATCTGATTGATAATTCTCCTCATTCAGTCCGCTTCTAAAGCATCCATCTCCCATCAAGTCTTCTCGCCTGCCCACCCAGGCCCATCACTGGCAGCTCGCAACTCGCGTAGTTGGTACCGATCAGTTACACTGAATTACCACTGGCAGTTCACTGCGAATAACTGGATCCATCTCCATCCGCCTTGGGCCAGTGAAGCCGTGAATCCTCCGGATGCCCCCACTTTTCTCCTTTTAGTCTCTTTCTCGTCCTTTCTTTGCTGCCGTAAACTGCTATAATTATAGTCCCCCGACACCGAGTACAGACGAACCATCTGACTCGTTTGAGAGTTGGTCTCATCCTCTCGTTCTCGTTGCTACCCCTACTACCTGCTCTGTCCACTTTGTCAATTAACCACCAACCCCCCTGCTGCTGCTCATCCTCCTCCTCCTCCTCCTCCTCCTCCCCCCCCAGTTCATCGTCTCACCTATTGTCTCTAGTGTACTATCGTTCTTCAGCCTCCTCGTCATATCCGTGTTACAACTTTCTTTTCTTCCTTCCCCTAACAATCAATATCTTCCTTTCGTTTCTTTTCTTTCTCTTCACCCACCCACCCACCCACCCACCCATACACCATACCGAACACAAACATCCATACACACACACTGCCGGAAATAGAAAGATGTTGACCTCCGCCTCCACCGACTCATCTCGTTCCTCTTACTCCGGAAGCCCCGTCTCCCAACAATCTCCGCATCACCATGTCTGGTTTCCGCCCGCCCCTCGTCGTCGACCGGAACACTACAAGATCCCCCGCTACTATTCCACCCCCGTGAGGGAAGATGTCCCCGAGTCGACCCCGCTGCAGATGTACGGCCTGGAGCAGCGCGCCCCGTCGATCTGCGAGAAGCCCAAGCTTCTGCGTCGCTTCTCCCACGCCCTCGACGACATCGTGGAAGACATGTCCCTCCAGAGCACCAGCGAGAAGGTCCTCAGCCGACGACGCCAATCCTTCTTCGGGATTGACGAGGAGGCGGTGATGTCCAGCACCTCCATCGCCAGCCCGACAATGGACTACTACGCCGTTCCGGCCCATCCGCAGCCCCCGAAGTCTCGCCCCATGTCGATTCTCTCGACTGAAGCCTGGACCCCGCCCGTCCGCCGACTCAGCCGTCGGCTGAGCATCAGCTTCTCGCGCAAGAAGAAGTTCAGACCGGGGCAGGTCGGGAGCATCTCCCAGCCGAATCTGATCGGAGCTTCGACGCAGATCTAAAACTTCAAAATTCCTGCGCGGTCATCACACCACCATATAATTTTTGCGTCAGATGACCACCTCAATCCGAATACATCCTCCTTCCACGTGACGCCGGTTCATACCACCACCTCAATTCTAAATCGACCCAGAACACGCAGACACAAACACCTACACACACACACACACACACACACACACACACACACACACACACACATACGAAACCCGAAAAATGCATATTCTCATCGGAGTTCAGCGCGCCAAAGGCGGCCGTTAGTCGATCCTTCTACCATTCTACCGTCTGAACCGTCCATTTTTATACCATAATATCTGGTCTAAAAGTCATTCCTTTTCTATTCTTCGATTCCCCCCTTATTTTCTGATCTGATTTATTTCAATTCTCTCCTTTAATCTTGGGGTTCTTGTCATCTGCATTAGCTCGGTGTTTGGTGTTGATCATTTCTCGGTCCGTTTTTTTTCTGGTCTGTGGATTTTCTTTTTCCATTATTCTTTTCTTGACCACCTATCACATGAGTGTTTGCCATTTTTCAATGCTCAGGGACAAACATACCAAAAAACCAGACAACGCATGCATGTCTATTTATACACTTGTTTGCTTTGAGTTGTACGAGTACGCTTTTTTTTATTGTCTGCGGAGTGGGCAACCGGCAGTATCCATCATATAGTTTTTTTTTCATGTACATACATACACAGATTCGGCCATAAACCAAACCACCGACCCTTACATCTTACATAGCTTTGCATTATGCGTTGTGTGTATGACATACCCCTTCCCGCTGTGCTCCTTGAGTCGGTCTGGTCCGCACGGCCCGATCCTGTTTCTGGGGTTGTGCGATTTATGAGATAGATTTGATCAGTTCGTTCACCTACTTTCACATTGCATCGGCTTGAGGTGGGCGTTGGGGTATTGCTACTAAGTGAGGTAGCATGTTTTTATTCATTTGAGGAGGGCAGGATTCATGGTTCACCCTCCACCCATTTGAACTAAAACGGTTCTATGCACCCGATCACCACATGTACTCCCCCACGCATCCTCTACGCAGTGAATCCACGCAAGCAAATATAGCTAGGCCCAGAACGACTACACACAGGATGGGACATTCCAAATCCTCAACCCACCCACGTCTGTCCGGGTACACGTGTGTACTTCACATGTACAGGACATGTACATGTACATGAAAACGGACAGTACAGCAAGCACAGCATTGACCCGTCCGTCCATCCACTGGCCCTGCTGGCTCTGCTGGCCCTACTGGTGACAGCCTGGTTGTATTGGATACGCGACTAATATACTGACTTGATGCATGGAAGTACTGTTCTCACACATATACATACATACATACATACATACATACAGACAGACCCCACGGATCACAAATCCGTCCAGCCCGGACTGGATGACAACCCTCTTCAGGTTTTGTAGCAGTAGCATTTGGAGGTATGCTTGTCTGGGTACTGTGCACCGTCTCCCCCTCTCCCCCCCCCACCTCCCGCTCTCGAATAGCTGGATGTTCCGATATGTGTACTGTACTGTCCAGCGGTGCTACTAGCCCGCACACTACCGACCGCACTGTAATCCAGACGCAACGGTCCCCCGGGCCTATTCTATATACGGTGCTACCTTTCCCTTTCCCTTTCCCCATATTTTTCGTATGGAGTATACAAGACCATCCGACCCCGAGACTAGAGTAAAAGTCCATTATCAAGGATGGGTAAGGAACAACTCTGACTATCTCGTGTATCATCTATACTACCGCTAGCGCTAGCGCTACCGCATGAAAAGCCAAGTCTTCCAGACTTGGAACAACAACCAGAAACCGAAACAAAAAAGTCAAACGCCCCTGGCAAGAAATACTCGTATTGGATGTTTCCAAGCTCCGCTTCCGGCATCCCACGCGTGCACCATTATTATTTGAGAATTCAACCAAAAAAAAAAAAGAAAAAATGTTTCCGGAACATAGATCCAATGTAAGAGAGTTTGATAGGCAGAAGGGAAGGGGATATTAGTGGACTGATGCAGCGGTAGGCAGGGCGTATCAGAGGTTTAGTTTGGATGGTGGAGAGGTCGGGAGGTGGTAGGTCTGGGTCTGAGGTTGAAGGGTATATGTGTCTGCTCGTCTGTCCGGTTGGTCGTAGGTGTCGGTGGTTAAATTGTTGGGTTTGTTTTTGATTTGTGTTTGCGGTGGCGGTTGCGGTAGGTTGTGGCCTTTGGCCCGGGACTTTTGGGTTGTATCGTGATTCCGCTGGAAGTATATTGCATCGCATCGCACCGCGTCCATCGATGACCTCCCTATCTCCGACTCCCTTTCTAGATCCGCATATCCGGGGCGCTTTTAACCCCCACGAGTCGAAGAAATCCAGCCCCCGACTTGTGGATCAGTACCCACCGATGTGTCGCTGTATCGTTCCGCTCATTGTCACGTCACCTCGTACCTCGCACTCCTCCTCGCACCGAAATCTAACCAAAAACAAGAACCAGTTCTAGCCGCACTTCCAGAACCCAGATCTATGATATCCCGATGACCATCTCTATAGCGTCACGCTCTCCAGATCGCGCACCATGACCGACATCTGCGCCCGCTTGGCCGCCTCCGCGACGAGGCTGAAGTCGCGCAGGAACGGGGCGGTGGCGGTCGGGCCGCCGGAGCCAGTGATCTGGTGCGGGTAAGTGTCGGTGTGGGTGGAGGGGTCTAGATGTTGTTGTTGTTGTTGGTGGTGGTGGTGGTGGTGGTGGTGGTGATGCGGTTGGTGCGGTTCGGTGGGATGTTGAGAGGGGTTGGTCGTGGTGCTGGTGCTGGTGCCGGTGACGGCCATGGCGGCGGCGGCGGCGGCTAGGTTGAGGGGGTTGGAGGGTTGCGGGACGGAGCTGGCCGGGGAGGTGGTGGTGAGGTTTTGGGAGGGGTTGAGGGTTGCCATTATTCTTATCGGTACTTGGAGTGTAGTGATGGGCTGGATGGGGTGGTGATGTATGTGGTGGTGGTTGTAGGTACAGGTGGAGATGAAGGTGTAGATGGACGGTGTAAGATGGCGGTTGATATAAGCTGAAATTGCGATGAAGATAAGGTAGAAATGAAAGACGGCTAAAGGCTGACGACTATCTAACAGGTAACAAAGAGGATTGTGCACTGCACGGAGTACACTACAGGGCTGCTTTCACCCTATCTCTGCAAATCCACGACAACGGGGCGTGCGTGGACTGATCCGGTGGGGTCGAGTCGAGATTTTAGCTGCCTCTCAGCCTTGAAAAAGGAGGAAGGGGATGGCGTGATGAGAAGCAGCGGACGCGGCAGCGATGCAGTTAAGTAGAAGAAGAATAGATTGAGCGAGCGAGAAAAAAAAAAGTCCCAGTCCCAGTCCCAGTCTCAGCAACACGTGGGGCGGTTGACCGGATAGACCGCGGTATGACGTCCGGCAAATCTCCAACGAGAAAGACGACGATAAGAGAGAACTTTAACGACTGGGTGATGATGATGATGAAACCGTCCCAAACCCAAACCCCAGAATCCCGAAGTTAACTCTCCAGCTTTTATGCGGTGGAAGTAACCGACAGTACTTGGTAGATTATCCATGCACCCCGGCTAAAGGAGGCATACGTACTTTTGACGCAAGGTACATACCTGGTCAACTGCAAGGCCAATCTCCTCCTTGAGCAATGATAAATGATGATTGATTGAGAGACTGAATTGAGTGAACTTAGTAGCAGGGCTAAACCAGTTCCAGAAAGTCCTTGAAGATCGCCAAGATTGCCGGATTGGAACAATCACTGGCCATCAAGACTGAAAATCTCTCTGCTGTTTGGAGCCAAAAGAGCCAACAACCCCAAAAGGGAAATCCCGTGTCCGATTTTTACCCGGTCCGCATCTCCACGCGGGGTTCGGCTTTTCCTGCCCAGTGTTGATTTTTGCTGCGCAACGCACTGCACTGCAGGTACCGTGACCGTCTGGACTCGCTGCCTCGGTCCAAATCACATGATACCATGTGACTTCTAATAGCAAGCTAAACCCAGAAAGGACATTCCCCCCCACTACGGGCGAGCTCCACTCGACGCTATCGCGATAGCGAGAAATTATCAGCCTGCATCCGAATCGGTCGCCCGCAATGCCCCTCGCATCCTGGACCACCACTTGACGCAGTAACCGACCATGGCGGACGAGGACAATTTCGACACTGGGGACATGTTCCAGGATCCGGAGGGGTTCTACGAGCCCGAACCGGAGCCCAGCTTTGCGGAGCATCACATGCTGTCTGGACAGACGGTGCGCGTCCGCCTGGTGGGCAGCCATCCTCTCTACGTATTTTGCCCCTCCCTCCCCCAATTCTTCCTCCACCAAACTCACCTCCCCGCCTCTCACTAGGGCAACCTCCTCTGGAACGCCGGCCGCACCAGCTCCCACTACCTCGAAGAACACGCCGACCGACTCGTCAAGGGGAAGGATGTGCTGGAGATCGGCGCGGCGGCGGGCGTCCCTAGCATCGTCAGCGCCGTCCTGGGCGCCCGCACCGCCGTGATGACCGACTACCCGGACGTGGACCTGGTCGAGAACATGCGCCACAACGCGGGGCTGTCGGCCGCGCTGGTCGGCCGCGACTCCGCGCTGCATGTGGACGGGTACAAATGGGGCGCCCCCGTCGAGCCGCTCCTCGCCTACCTCCCGGAGACAGCCCGGAGCCAGGGCTTTGATCTGCTCATCATGGCCGACGTGGTGTACAGCCACCGCGAGCACCCGAACCTGATCAAGACGATGCGCGCGGCGCTGAAGCGCGCCCCGGACGCCGTCGCCCTCGTCATCTTCACCCCCTACCAGCCGTGGTTGCTGCCCAAGACGGAGAAGTTCTTCCCGCTGGCCGAGGAGAACGGGTTCCACGTCACGAAGATCTTCGAGAAGGTGATGGACGATGTGTTGTTCGAGAATGATCCGGGAGTGAGTTTTCTTCTGGTTGTGCTGGAGGGAGGGCGAGTTACAGTGCTAATGTCGGGTCTAGGATGAGCGGCTGCGGAGGACGGTGTTTGGATATGAGATTCGGTGGACGGAGGAGGAGTTGAAATAGACGGGTTGAGTGAGACATGGATTGGGTTGCATGGCTGGTGTTGCGCTGGGGTGCAGGGTACAGGGTACAGTACATACAAAAGTGATTGTTTACTTGGATAGACGGGCGTATACCCCTTATATCAATTTACTGCATTATACATTTTTTCATTTCCTAAACACACTTATTAAACAAGTATTCAATCCCAATAAACCGCAGTGTAGTTGAAACCCGACCATACCGCAAAGCAAAGTCACATGTAACCAACCCCACCGCCCGCCCGCGGCGGCGGCGGCGGCGGCAGCCCCGCGCAAAAAAATCCCCAACTTGCATCACACACCGCAAAACACGAGAGATAAAAGATAATTCTGAAGATCGATCTCACCCAGCACATCCCCACCATGCCAGTAAGTCCACTCCGATCCCTCCATCGCCTCCCCAGCTCAACCCCACCTACGATAGACCGACGACTAACACTCCCCCGCAAAAAGCTCATAGTCCTAACCGGCTACCCCTGCTCGGGCCTGAGCTACCGAGCGAACCAACTCGCGACGCAACTCGAAGCCACGCAGGACGAGCTCTACGCCGCGGGCGTGTTTCCGGAGACGAAGCCGCGCTTCAAGGTGCATGTGGTGCCGACGCACGATCCGTCGCACCCGCGCACGGTGTACGACCAGGCGCGCACGGAGAAGGAGTCGCGCGGGGTGGCGTACGCGCGGGCCAAGCGCGCGCTGGGCAAGGACAGTTTCGTGATTCTGGACGGGATGAACTACATCAAGGGGTATCGGTATCAGCTGTGGTGTGAGGCGAAGGCGCTGAAGACGAGTAGCTGCGTGGTATGTCTTGTTCTTCCCCACTTGTCCTCAGGGGCTTCGCGCAGGGCCGTGGGAGTGGTGATGCTATGCTAACCGGAGGGGTCGGGGCATAGGTCCACGTCGGCACGCCGATCGAGCAGTGCGTGAAGAACAACGAGGCGCGCATACAGCGCCAGGCTGCGGAGGGTGCAGGTGCACCCTCCGCCGAGGAGACTTCGCCCAGCTGCCCCGCTCCCACCACCGATACCACCCCACCACCAACAGAGGACAAAGAAGACCCCTACCCCGCGGACCTCCTCAACAACCTGATCTTCCGCTACGAAGAACCCAGCATCCACAGCCGATGGGACAAGCCGCTCTTCACGGTCCCGTGGTCCGACGCCGCGCCTCCCATCGCCGAGATCTGGACCGCGCTCACGGGCCTCCCGCACCCGTCCACCGCATCGCCCGACGACCCGCAACAACAACCGCAACCATCCCTGCTGGATCTAGCCACCACCTCCCTCAACAACACCCACCTCTCCACCACCGATACCGCCAGCATCGCCCCCTCAACCTACACAGCCACCACCGCCGCAGCAGGCGGCCGCAACCCCCTCGGCCGGCCGCGCATCCGCCCGCACCAAGCCACCGCCCTACCGGCGACGACCTCCTCGTCGGCGCTGTACAGCATCGAGAAGACGACCTCGGGCATCGTCGCGGCCATCCGCGCGTTCACGCAGGCGCACCCCACCGCCGACGAGGCGCTCGCCGCTTCGTCGGGAAGCGGGACAAGGGAGGAAGGCATCACCATCGCGATCCCCGGGTCGACGACGCCGCTGTTCGTGCCGGCGCACGTCGCGCGCACCGGCGGGCCGACCGAGGAGCTGGCGGCCGCCGGCGGCGTGCTGGCGCTGCCGCGGCTGCAGCGGTGGCGGCGGCAGTGGATCACGCTGAACCGGGCGTATGTGGCGGGCCCGCATGCCAGTGCGCGGGGCGGGGGCCTGACGAGCGAGGAGATCCCCGATGCGTTTGTGCGGTTTCTGAACGCCGAGGTGGGTGGGGGGGCGGATGCTTAGTTGCCTCAAGGGGGGCGGCGGGGCATAGCAGCTACGTTGGGGATGTTCTCTTTCCCTCCCCGGAAAAGGGGATGCATATAGATTCAGTGGTGTTGTCTCGCGTTTACGCGTTACGTGTGCAGGTGAAGTAGATGAGTACGGCTCCATGATCGTTGGATATTGTATAGAGTGTATAAACAGGCCCAGACCCGGAGGTTGGGGGCTTATAATAACTGAATAGAACAGAAGAATCGCTCACTCCAACCCATATGCAATACCACCTTAAATCCATCGCATCTCACATCACGAAAAGCAAATTGGTATCTACTCCAAACATTAGCAAACACACTCTCAGAGATATGGGGAAGGGCCACTCACCAAGCGGATGACTACAACTCAACTGCGGCTTCTGCGTATACTTGCCCTCCAGCTCGTTGCGGATCGAATTCAGCAGCTGCAGGTAACTCTGGTTGGGCCGCTGCTGGAGCGTCTTGATGAAGGCCCAGCTCAGCGCGCCGCGCGCCTCGCCGTCTTGGAAGGTGTCAGCCCTATTCCACGGCAGAAAAATTAGCATGCTGTTTGCCAGGTGGCGACGCCGTCTCCTGCCATTTCTCATTTATCCAATCTCCCCAAAGCAACAAAAAGAGAAAACAAAAGGGTAAGAAGGGACATACGAAGTCTGCGTGTCCTTCGATCCGGAGAACATGACCACGTCCGCCGGCGAGGTCTTGGTCTGCATCGTGCGCTGGCGCGCGGTGTCGCCGTTGGCGGCCTTCTTGAAGAAGCCGATCGCCGTCTGCGCGACGCTGCTCAGGTCGCCCTTGCCGTAGGACTGGAAGGCGCTGAACAGATCCATCGCCGCCTCCTTGGCCAGGTTGGGTTCCTTGAGGATCCCCTGCGTTGAGTAGACGTAGGGCAGGTCCAGGGCGGTGCCGGAGTGGCATGAGTCGAAGATGGCGGTGAGGCGGACGCCTGGTTGGAGGGGGCGGACCCTTTTGGCTTTGTTAGCTGTCTCGCTCTCTGTATGTGTGTGTGTGTGTGTGTGTGTAGGGGCCAGGGAGCGCTTACATTATATCGTGCATGTCGTCGTCGACGATGTGGCCGGCGGTGCGGTAGTCGAGGGGGTAGATTACGTCGTCATACCCTAAACAACAGGGTCTGTTAGTTTGATGCCGGGTCCTACGTGTTTTGGGAAAAGAGACTCACCATCCTCTTCGTCGCCGTCAAGATCAGGCGTGCGACCTCCGTGGCCTGATACAGAAATCAGTCAGTTTTACGGGCCCCCGACACACACAGCTAGCTCTCAGTAGGGTCCAACGCACCCGAAAAGTGAATGAACAGCGAATCGTTCGGCTGCGCATCCTTGACCAGCCACTGCATGGCGCGCAGGATGTTGGCCTTGTTGGGCAGGCTCATGGGGTTCTGCTGGTCGTCGGTCAGGATGACCATGTCCTCGCGCCGGTAGCCGTACTTCTCGTTCAGGAAGGTCGACATGTTGGTCACGTCGTTGATGCAGCCGCGCAGGGCGTTCGGCTGGCCGATGTAGTTGATGCCGATCAGCAGCGCCTTGCGCCGCCCCGTGCAGGTCGAGTACTGGAACCGGTAGTTGGAGGGGGCGCCCTTGCCGAACTGCTGGGCCTCCTGCGGTGGGCGGGGGGGGAGGGAGCCCCATGATTGGGAGTGGCCTGGTCGGATGGATTAGAGGGTGGAAGGGGGGTGATTTGGGGGATTGGGGGATTGGTGGACTGGACTCACTGTGGTAGGATCGGGTGTGGCCTGGGGATGAGGATTGTGGTGGCGGGGTCGGAGTGTGAGGGTGGCCGTAGGGCGACGGGGCCGGGGAGGGGTAGGCTGGATAGCCACCCGATGAGGAGTAGTGGTGAGACGGAGGCGGGCCGGACGGCGGAGGATACTGGTGGCCTGGCGGAGGACCGGGGGGAGGAGAGTATTGATGTCCTGGCGGAGGTCCTGGAGGGGGTCCTCCTGCAGGAGGATAGTATTGTGGACTAGGGGGATATCTAGAGCGGAATCAGTCTGCGTGCGCGGTGTCTGATGGCTGCATGAAAGGTCAACCCACTGGTTGTGGTGTGGAGGCGGCGGACCCCAGCTCCCTTGATGAGAAGGAGGAGGGTAACCGCCGGACCAACCCTGCGAATATCCCGAGTTCTGGTAGTACATCAATTGCTGGGGAAAGGAGGCTGTTGGCAAGAATGAGGGGTGAGCCGATGTGTCGGTGTGCGAGCGGATAAGGATATCCGAGTGAATTACTGATAAGCCGAATGTCGAGCGATTGTCTAACGCTATGCCAGGGGAATGGGGTCTAGGACTGTCTAGTCTTGATGTGGAGTCTTATGTATATAGCCCCGGACACAACCAGGGGGAAAGAAGATTGTAAGGAGAAGAAGCTGACACGGAGGAGGGGACAGAATTAGTATTTAAAGCGCAGAGGCAAGATTGTCGCCGACTCACAGGGCTGGCTGATGCCGCTTCTTCCCCGCTCACCAGCACTCGGCATTGGCTAACATTGGCTGGCATTGGGGGAGAGGGTGGGTCTGCACGAGGCGTAGGGCAGAATTACAATACATCGCCGTTACAGTAGCATTACACGGCCAGTTGGTGCCCTGCCAACTGAGACAGAACTGAGTACTGGGGAGCCACAGCGTCTATAAGACTGACTCAGTGGGGTTTAAGGACATATTTCAGTATTTAAGAGACCATACAGCTTACACTTCTAACCCTCAACCCAGATCTATTGACCTCCCGACCCTCTTGATCTCCAGACAGCCAGACAGCCTCCCCGGCACGGAACATCCGACCATACCCAGGATTACGTTGCCCGGCGGACGTAGCCATGGATCAGACAGGCAATCTTCCAGAAGACTCGCTGCAGCTCCTTTTAGGCACCGACCAATCGACTTGGCCCGAGTGTCGGACTTGAGCGACTGACCCCGGGTAGGGCGATCAATGAAAGCCTCTGCCAGTCTGCCACCGTCGGGGAGGCGATGACTCGAGCCATGCGGGGAAGAATCCGGATTCTGGTTGGTCCTGCATCGTTACGCAATGTTGATGTTGCCACGGGCCAGCCTTCTGCCTTGGATCCCACGTTGTCTGTGGGTGCGATTGGTCGTTGGATCAGGGATCTTATCTCGATCAATCAGATGATCGGGCACTACTAGTGGGTACTGGGAGTGAATTATCGTCGATTGTGATAGGTTTGTATCGCCCTCGTGACCAGATTATTCTATCAGTTGTATGGGGATAATAAGCAAATACTTCTTGACATTAGAAGGTGTTGCTTCTCCGGTTGACAATATTTGGCCTTAACTTTCCTTGTGGAGACACTATCTAGACCCGAGGTTGTGCTATGCTTCTCTCCGCACTGATTCAAAACCTAGGGCTTATCTGCTTAGATCTAACTTGTGAAAAACTGAAGACATCAAAGAAATAGACTAATGCCATTCTTGGCTTCTGACACACTAGCATGGGATCAGTACGTCTACGAGCTTATACTGTACAAGACAATCTCCGCGCTGCTCCCCACCATTGTATACATCCTCGGAATCCCATTGCTAGTGATGAACTCGATGGGATGCAGAACAGCATAAACTCATGAATCCTTGTCTAATGTTGCTGTGCATCAGTGTTCTTTTTGACCACACTTGTGCGCGACAGGCCAGGGGTGGCAGTACCCCTAAAACTGTCCATGTCGTCCAAGCCACCCTCTTATAATGATATAATCATAAGTCAATCCTCCCAGCACCAGATCCCCTTACCACAATCCTCACCTGATCAGGACCATAATCCACCCACCAGCATGGCATCAATAACCAACAAGCCCTAAGCCTTTACCTCCCACCTTGCATGACCAACCTCGCCCTCACGCAAGGGGGGAGGGTATCACCACCACCACCACCACCACCACCACACCACAAACCCCCTCAGCCCTCAACCCCAACCCCAACCCACACCATCCCAATCCCAATCCCAATCCCAATCTCGAACCCCAAGTTTCAAACCGTTTCAAAATGCCCCCCCTCAACATCGCCATCATCGGCAGCGGCATCGCCGGCCTCCTGGCGGCCCGCATCCTCCGCGAACAACACCACGTCACCATCTACGAGCGCACGCCCTCGGCCAACGAAACCGGCGCGGCCATCAACATCGGGCCCAACGGGATCGCGATCCTCAAGAGCGTGGGATTCGACCGGCGGCGGGCGCGCGCCATCCCCGTGGCGCGCACCCTCGCGTACAACAAGGCGGGGGCGGTGACGGCCGACACGACGCTGGACTACCGGCGGGAGTTCGGGGCGGATTGGCTGTTTTTCCATCGGGCGGATCTGCGGGATGAGCTGTTGCGGTTGGCGACGGCGCCGTCGGAGGAGTTGGGGGTGGTCGGGGATCCGGCGCGGGTGAGGTGGGGGGTGAAGGTGGTGGGCTGGGGGAGCGGGCAGGGGGATGTAGAGAATGGGGAGGTGGTGTTGAGTACGGGGGAGGTGTTGCGGGCGGATTTGGTGGTTGGTTGGTAGCCCAGTCCCTGGATCTTGCTTTGGAGAGGTGGTTAGGGGGGGAATCCACCGGCACCAGTACCGTGGAAAAATACCAGATTCAGATCCGTATATGTTTGTTAACAGCCAACAGCAGCAGACGGCATCAAATCCACCCTCCGCCCGCTCGTCCTCCCCACCGTCCCCAACATCCACCCCCTCCCCGCCGGCTCCTCCATCTTCCGCTTCACCCTGACCCGTGCCCAGGCCCACGCCGCCCTGGGCTCGTGGCCCGTGAACCTCGACCGCACGCAGCCGGGCTGCATCACGACCGTCTTCGCCTTCGACGCCACCGAGCGCCGCGTCGTGATCTACCCGTGCCGGGACTTCGAGGTCCTGAACTTCGCCGTCATCGTGCCGGACGGGATGCTGTGGCCGGCCACGGCCGCGAAGATCGGCATCGGCGCCGAGGGGGGCCGCTGGTCGGCCGATGCCGAGAAGGACGAGCTGGTCGAGCATTTCCGCGATTTCCCGGACTGGGTGGGGGATTATCTACGGTGAGTGCCCCCCTGCCTCCCCGGTCTCAGTAAGCTTGCCGTGCTTGACGGACATGCATCACAACGCTCCTGGAGATGGAATTGATCCTGATCGGCACGAACAGCGCAGCACCCATCCCCGGCCTCCGCGTCTGGCGCCTCCACCACACCCCCCCGCTCCCCAGCTATATCGCCGGCCGCACGGTGCTGATCGGCGACGCCGCCCACGCGATGACGCCGCACCAGGGCCAGGGCGGCACCCAGGCGATCGAGGACGCGGAGGCGTTCCGCCTGTTCCTGGGCGAGCATGTCACCGCCGAGGCGGTGCCGGCGCTGTTGCGGGACCTGGACCGGGTCCGCCGGCCGCGGGCGTCGTGCATCCAGGCGAATAATGTGCAGGCGCGCGGGCGGAAGTCCGCGCAGGAGGTGCATCGGTTTCGGCGGTTTAATTGGACGTATCCGGGGATTGTGGCGGAGGTTAGGCGGTTGAATGCGGAGGCGGGGGTGGAGGCTGGAGGTGTAGTGGGTTGTGGTTCTGGTTCTGATGGTGGTGGTGGTGCTGCTGCTGCTGCTGAAGGCCAGATGGATGACGAAGAGAAGCGGGAGTGGAAGTTGTGAATCATGCTGCTGGTTGCCTGCGTTGTGCGCTAGATTGTGCCGTGTCGGACATTTACTATTAGGGATAAAATCACCTATCTCACCTCATCCCCCCAGAATCCAGCTATCACTCAGTCTACTGTAAGTATAATCCCCGGTCATAGCGCACGAGCTCGCACCACCTACCCCATTCAGGCAACCTGCTAATTCAACCTGACAACCTCGGAAGAGCCTCAACCCCGAAGTGATTAGAATGATTACAATGATTACAATGATCCGAATATTCAGAATATGTGAAATGATTAGAAATACATAGAACGGCATCCCACCCTATCCCCAAGCGACAAGCACCCCACACCCTCGACGATGAATCAATGCGCACTCCCCATGACACAAGCCAACCACCCAACCCATCCCAAAAACACTCCCCTTCCTTGTAACTTAACAGTTAACACCGACCACCCCAAGAGCCCCATCGCAACTCAACTTCCCCCCACCAAGACATGAGGCCCCGTATTCGTACCCCCACTCGATCCATCGTCGCTCTGTCCGGAGACAAGAAAGAACCAGGAATTCTCCTCCGAGATCCACCGAACCCCCGAACCCATGACCAAGATCATGAACACATCCCCAATCCTCACCCGAGCACCGTTTTTACCCGGCTCAGGGTAGAGAATCCTATACGAAGAAGCACAGACACCCCTCCCACTCTCCACTCCACCGCACTCCACCGCACTCCACCGCACTCCACTCCCGGACCTGCCACACCCGACGCAACCTATCAGCTCCCCAGCTACGGGCCAGCTCGACAAGCTAGACTCGTCAGCGGGCGGGAGCTAGAGCTTTGCTCTGTCAGATGTATAGTGATGTAGTAAGGAGGGGTGCATTTACCCCCCGTATATACGGAGGGCTCGGGCTCGGGCTCGGGCTCGGGATGGGGGATGGGGATAAGGGATGGGGATAGGTAGGGGTAGGGAGGGTATCCACTCGCCGTTTCGAGTAAGCTGTACGCGGTACACTACTCATAGAGTCAGTCTGAATGGGGTGGGGGGAGCTTAGCTGTTTCTGCATTGACATTGACACTATACTCCCTACACCAATTCCAAGGATATCAAATTCATCCCAAGAAAGTAAACACGACCCCAAAGCACCAAGGCGAAGGATACGTAATCCTCTCCACCATCAGCACCACGCTCACGCTCACCTACTAAACAAATAATAACTATGCGAACTCAACACCAATACGAATCCCCCAACTTGAAGTAGACAATGCATCAACCCCAGAAGCCAGGCAAGATTCAGACATCGAACAGAGCCGCTCGGCAACAGGAATCCAGTCACCAAGAAGGGGTGGAGCTATGGATCCCGCAACGGCAACGACAAACGCATAAATCCCTCGAAAAGAGAACATGGTGGTTGTAGGTTGTAGGGTTCCATAGAGCCTCACCCACCATGTAGGTAGGTAGGTAGGTAGGTAGGTAGGTAGGTACTGTAGTCTACTAAACAGAAGACACCAAATCCAGCAAATTCCATAGAGCCTCACGCAACCGCGCTTACACAACATCACCCAGGTAGGTGCCCGGTGATCGCGAGCAGAGGGAGGGAGGATCCGGACAGCGTAAAAGATCAGAGCATCTTGTACAGTACAGTACATACATCGAAGACTTGACTTAGTCTTACGTAGACCCGCCGCGGGATCCATGCCCCAGCATCCACCACACAAGCAGCAACAACAACCACCTAGGTACTGTACGAGTAATCAGAGCCGGCCGTCACCGTGGACCGCGGTGTGCATAAGCAACTTCCACGACACTAACACTAACACTAACACACCCCAAAAAGGCATTTCTCGCGGATACTTGACCCCCTACGGGCGAAATCTGACGGTTCGTCACGCCACTCATGTAAGACATGATGACCTGTTGTCGCCGCGGCCCAAAAGACAATGCGGTTTGTGGGATCGGTGAGGGAGGAGGAGACTAGGTTCACTCCCTCCCCACTGCCCAGTCAGTGGAGGTCAGGATCTCGTAAGCTTACTTACTTCCTTACCCGCAGGGCTGCCAAGGCTGACTGACTGTAAGTCAGGCTTACGGTTTCCGACGGTAAGTTAGTCGACTCCGTCGTCCGCACTCATACTTGCTTATCCGATCGGAGATCCCCTCTACCGAAGGATTAGCTACAACAGGGAATGCCACTCACAACGTGACTTAGCAACTACTCACAGCCTCTAAATATATGCAGCTTGTTATTGGCCAATGATATTATCAGTTTTATCGTCTATAATCCGGCTGCGCTGCCGGCGTTGCAGCCAACCCATCCGTCATGCGTGCACAGCCACACGGCACGTTGAGGCAGTGCTCAACCCCAGGCCGACTGAGCGGCCACTGGCCACTGGCCACTACCACCACCAGACAACAACAAAAATAGTAGCTGAGGCAGTGCCTGTCGGGGTAATTAGCCACTCCCCCCTGGATCCTAGCACGGCGGTTTGCCCAGCAAACCAAACACCATACGGCAGCACCCCGACCCTATCGCAACCAAAACCCCCTTCCCAGCCGCAGATACATCGCCCCCTCCTCCCGCACCGAGGGCACCGGCGACCCCCTTCCCCCTTTACTCATCCCCATCCTCGCCGCCGCGGTCCGCTTGGCTCCAAAACTCGTATGCCTAGTCGACTCCATCTGCGCAACGTCGCCAACGCGAACGCGCTCCCCCTGGCCTGCTGGATGGGTCGGTTCAGCTGCCGCTTGCGCTGGCCGCTTCATCGCTCGCACACTCCCGTCCGTCATGTCCAATCGCTGCAGTCCAGGCAGCCGCAGCAGTGGGTCAAAGTTGATGAACAGAATCGCTTGGTCGCCGTCACCAGAGTCCGGCGCATCCACCGAGTACACCAGCGAGCGTTCGTCGGCGGCGGCGCGCACCTCCGACGAGGCGATGCGCTTCGTGGGCGAAAGCAGCTGCGTCAGCGCCGCCGGGGCGTGGTCGGGGGGCCACATGTGCACCCCCAACGATTCGAAGCGTTCTTCACTGTGGTCGATTGGTGGGCGGCTGGACGAGTCTTGATCGTCCAGCTCCGGTGGGTACAGCAGTCCCGGTTCGACTTCTTCACCTGCAGAGTCAATGGGGGACTTGCGCTTGCGCGAGGTCAGACGGAGGCGGAGTTGGTCGGTGGGGATGCGTCCCGAGGTGGTGGTGCTGCTGATGCTGTGGCTGGGTTGGGGTCCGGCCGTGTCAGTAACAAGGTCTACAAATGTCGAACTTGAGAGATTGTAGGTACGGTATTTGGTGCGAGCCAGGATGAAGTCGCGTCGTTTGGCGAGGTCGGTTCCCGGGGGGTATTCCTGGTGATAGTGGCGGCGGATGCGCTTTTGGGGCGGTTCGTAGCGGGGTTTGTTGGTCGAGTCCAGGGTTCGCGTCAGGGGCTCGTCGGGGAGCACGGCGGGCGGGGGTGGTGCGTTGCGGGTCCGACGGAGTAAGCCGGCGAAGCGCTCCTGCTTACTCTGCTCGATCTCAGCCGGCGATGGCAGCGATTGCATGTAGTACGTGCGAATGTTTTCGCTGCCGCTGTTGATCCATTCGCGGCGGCACTCGAGGATCATCAGCTGCTTCGTGGCCTCGTCGACCCGGAGGGACAGATCCGACCAGGTGTCGTTCACGGGGCCCTCGCGGTGCTGCCGCCGCCACTTGAAGTTGATCGTGCTCTGCTTGGTCTCCTCCGTGGGCGACACGCACAGCCACACGTAGTAGGAGGTCCAGTCGATCTCCTCCGCTTCGTGGCCGATCATCGTCGACACTGCATAGAGGTGGTCATCGTAGACGCCAAAACATACGTTCTGGGAGATATCGTGTCCGGAGAAGTTGTCGAGGATCAGAGGCGCCCGGGTGGTGTTGCGACCCGTCTGCAGATCCGCGCATTCGACCACCCATTGCAGATGCCCGTCGGCGCTCAGCATGCTGTGTGTTCCCCAGTAGATGTACCGAGTGTTGAGCCGGACAAACAGCCGTCGGGTGTCCGGCAACCGAGTGATGAACCGCAATCGGCCTGTCTTGTGGCACTCCAGTTTGGGGCGCATGTCCACGGCTATCAGCCAGGTTTCTTCCGTGTCTTCGCGTTCCACGGTGAATGCCAGATTCCAGTCGTGATACTGCATGAGCCGGATGTGAATCGTCTCTTCGTTCGGGTCACAGGACGGGATGATTCGCGACACGACTCGGTGAAGGTTCAACACCTGCTCAGTGCAACTTGCGCCGTGAACGTCCAGTATGCGGATCTCCTCCCTGTAGATGTAGGTCAGGGCACCCCCACTGTAGAGAAATGAGCTGCCATAGGCGAGGAGCGAAGCCGAGTATGGCTGCGCAGTCGCAAAGGCCTCTCGGATGTCGAACACCCGTCCCAGAGCTTTGCGGTACCCTTTTCTGGCGGCAATGGCTTCCTGGCCTTCGGTGGTATGACGCAGTTCATTCTAGGGCAGTTAGTCATGTTCCTGTCCGTACAGATCAGAGAGAGGTACCTCGATGGCTTTGCGGGCAATGTTCTCGTCCTGAACGAGACGGTATAGGGCCCCGTTGACGCGGCCCAGCTGGACCAGGTCTTGGGACCCCAGTCTGGACGCGATCTGATAGAACACATCGTAGGGAATACAGTCCAGATTCTTGGAGGGTCTATGGGCGGGGTCCATCTCGGACTATCAACCATGTGCGGCGAAGGGAGGGGGAAAGCAAGACGGTGTAGGGAAACTGTAGATCTAGACCGAGACCATCAGGAAAGAGACAATCGAGTGTCGGCAGACACTGGTCCTTGAGAAGAATCTAGCGATGATAATCACAAGAGAAAGGACTGTTGACTACAAGGACGCAAGAAACAAATAAAGGCGGTCAGATGGAGATAAAGTATGGAGTGATGATCAGGTAACCCAGTTAGGAAGGCAGACGTTCGAGGGGGCACCCGATGCCCAATTCAGCCAAACCCCAACGGGTAATATGTTTGCAATGCCCTGCAATGCCGCGCAGGCAATCAACCAAGCCTCAAGCCTTGGAGTATGCAGTGTTCTTCAATGCAAGTGGACTGTGGCGAGCTTCATTCAAGACACGAACGGTCGAATTTCGCTGAGAAGTTCAATCCAGAGCCAATCGCATGTCTCAGCTGAAGATCTGGGCGGTGGCAAGACAGAAGTAAACAACGAGACAAAAAAAAAAAAAATTAACCCAGCTGAGGAATATCCACCCAGGCCATGACAATCCACGATCATGCAAAGGAAACGCATGGGCCGAGTCAAGAGGGAGATCAGCCGTCATGGGGAGAACTTGTACTTTTTGGGTCCTGATGCGGCTCTGTGGCTGGTTTTCCGTCTCATTCCTGGGAGGATGAAAAATGAACCGGGCAGCAGCTCAGATCAGTCAGAGAGGGGGGGCGGAAAGTAAGGTAGGGTAGGTTAGCTAGTGCGTGTAGTAACATTAGGGAGTGGGAATAATAATTGATTACTCCCTCTCTGCTTTCTCTCTCTTACAAGTAGTGCTCGCAAGAGACCCGCCCGAGGGAACAAAAACAGAAGACTAAAAGTCACCGAGGGTCCGAGGGTCCGAGTGACAATTCAGTGATAAACAAGGGCCAGGACCAGGACTCAGGACCAGGACCAGAATGCAGTCGCAGTCGTAGTCGCAGCAAGCAGCAAGTAGCAGCATCAATAACAATAACAAATCAACTACAGTCACAGTCGCAAAGATCCACCAGTACGACCGACTCCAACAAAAATGCGACAACGAAGATCAACCGTCCCACTCGAAGCATACTTACTTGGAAGGGCGGTCAGATCAGGCATGATCTCTGTGTTATGCTGTGTTATGACATCCCTCCCATATCGAGGGAACTCCTCCACGGTAACTATCTTAAGTTGATTGTCAGGGGGACAACCCTAGACAAGGCTGCGTTTCAGTGCCGTCAGCAGTACGACCTCTCGCTCTGCCCTCAACGATCGGCGCTAATAATAATAGCGTCTCTTCCCATTCGCTCTTTGGCCCTCGTGAGACCTGTTGCGGCCCTCGTCCAGGGACTCACACAAGAGGCTCAGCGAACTAGCGACTCGGAGTAGGTAGCTAGCTAGCTAGCTAGCTAGCTTTGTACGCAATACTCTAGTAAACATTAAACCGAAATCTTGGGAGCCTGGCAGCAGCAAGCCAAGCCAGTAACCCCGAGCCACTATCGACGGGATTACGCAAGGGAGGGCAATTGGATCAGGATTCAACAGCCGAAAGGAAACTCTAGACGAGAGGTTCCGGACTGTCGGACGGCCCAGTTGAGCCTCAATCTCCACTCCGTCGGTGGGGAAAGGGTGACTCCTCGCTCATTTCAGTTCGAAGTGTACAGTACCTACTCCGTAGTAGTGGAACCAAGTGGGATGGAAACTGTCAAAGAAGGACCAAGGAAGGAAGCACGCGGCTCAACAGGAATGAGGCTCGTGGTTGTCGGGTTTTGTTGCCTCAGGCAGGAACAATGATCGTGATGATCTATGTCGACGAGGAAGATGATGTTGATGATGATGATGATGACAATGATGAGGCTGAATGGCCATTCATCCCAATTACCCACAGATGAACACGACAATAAGGTTAAGCCGGGTACGTATGATCCCCCTTTCTGACCAAGATGTTAGATGATCAGTAACTTAGTTATCATGAATAATGGCGCACGCATGCTCCGACGGACAGACAGCCTGATCGGATGACGACGGAATTAACCCCCTACCGCAGGTAAGCAGGGTCATCCCGCCCATCGCGCCCACGATGATCCTCGCTTCGGATCTCCAACCAAAGCAAAAGCCCAAAGTGTTTTCCAAGCTCTCGTCCAATGACAGCATCAACCCAGGATCAGATCCCTCAGGGAGTCAGGATACCCAGATGATAGGGGCAGGCATCAACCCCGCTCGTAATAGCGGCGCGACTGGTCTGAAACAGGTACCAGTTCCATGCCTGGAGCTGCAAGGTATATAAGGTGCACCGACGGCTTCTGCATCCTTCAGGGTAAGAAAGAGCGAAGCGTAAGCACTTATCTTGGCCCCTCTCCTCTTTCTTTCTTTTCTGTTCTTCCCACCCCTCTCAACCCCCCAAACCCCAACAAGCTCGTGGCTAGACCTAGAACTCGATTCGATTGCGTCAGTCAGCCTTGCTACTGTCCACTCTTTCTGACACGCGTAGCCCAATAGAATATCCGCCGGAGCACTTAAGCATCGGATTCTTATATCCCTGCAATGCGGGGGTGTGCTCAAAAGCCCACTCCCGGCCCCTCTGTCCGCGGCAGCTGGTCATGCCGCGGTCAGCCTGACCCTCGAAGGTGTAGCTTGCAATCGCGCGCACATTGGTCCATTCGGCCCCAGCACGCGATGGTCGGAAGTCCGGAAGCCAAACATGCGGACTGGACCCTTGCATCGGACCTTTGCTCGTCATCTTTCCAAAGGATCCAGACGGTCTGGGCGAGGTTCTCCAAATGCTGGATTGCATTTACCTTTCCACGTGTGTGGGCCAATCTGGCCAGCGGATGCCCGCGGAGGGAGATTGATTCGCTGTCTCGTAGGTTGGGGTTCAACCATGGACCGCAATGCCGCTGTCCGAGAAGAGCTGGTCTCAAACCCGCGGGAACAATCCTGGCGGACGACAACGGGTGTAGAGCGGTTGATAGCTGGACACAATCAACCACACAGCTAACTGTGAGCATTTGCATTATATTTTTCAAATATTGGCCTCAAATATCAACTGGGTCCCATAGCTCAGTTGGTTAGAGCGTAACGCTAATAACGTTAAAGTCGAGGGTTCGAGCCCCTCTGGGACCATCTCTTTTTACCTCTTTGGTAAGCCTCCTTAGAGGCCATCCTTGCCTTTTTGTGCCTCAATACTGATTGGCCTTGTGCGTGGCCCCAAAACAAAGCTGTTCGGGAAGGTTGCAACTCGGGATGAGAATCCTTCGTCTGCAACTAACTCCGCGGGAAAAAAAGGTGGGTCGCCGGTCGTGTTCTGGGATTGATCAGGTCCTGCTGTACTCAGAGCTCCCTCCGTCTTATCATTTCGTGGTGTGCAATTGAGAGTGCGGACAATTGACACTTTTGGGGAAGTCTAAACTGTCTGAGGGAGGCGCAAGGAGAAACGAGGTTCTGAAATTAGCTAGTTTCTATATGAGCTATGGAGTTCAAGTGCTTGTCAGCAGTTTCCAAGAAGGTAGCAAGACAGGGGAAGAAGTTGAAGTGAACGGCAAGGGATCAGGGAAAGCTATGCGTCACCACAGTGTAGATGGAGAAAGGAGAGGACATGTGAAGGTCGAAGGTAGTTCTATCTTCAACATCAAAGGCGTTTCCAGATAAAGATAGGATGACTAGCACCATTCAGCACCGACACTATATGGCTCAAAATAAGGAAGGCAGGTAAATAAGCTCATGACTGAAACCGAGCACCAAATATGTCGCCGAAGCACTTATGCCCACGAACATCGCCGGGGACACTTTTGGCCATCTGTAGAGTGATATGGTTGATGGTCGTCCTTGGCGAATGTTTTGCGCAGCCAGTCCTTCCAGTCCCAATCACACCAGTCAATGAAATCGTTCTGCTTTGACACAGAGCCGCGATACCAGCGGATGATAGGAGTGATGTAAATTGGGAGGAGGCGGTCCTCATGCGACCAGCGAGATTCGCGAGTGGGGTGATTGATATACGCTCGTCCAAAGTCAATTATAGTGATGTACGGTCGGCAGGTTGGAACGTCAGTTATGGTATCCTCGACCATGATGTTGCGTCTGTAGATATCCTTGTGTCGCAGGCCGACGGCGTAGAATTTGGACTCGGCTCTAACGATCTGCTCCAAGATGTGTTGTCGGGTCTCCACGGCGATTCGGCCGGGACGAAGACGGCTCATCGGTGATCCCGACATGAACTCCACGAGGATCAGACGCACTTGGCGAATGCCCCTATTGGGAACTGGTATGTCAAGCGAATAGGATCCGCAGAACTGGGGGATATAGTCACTCAGACCATGCTTATGCAGGTGTTGGTAAGCTGCTGTCTCCCGGGTATATTCGTCCTCGACACAGCGGAATGGATCAACCATAGCTTTCTGGTGGTTATAGTACAGCGGATCATAGAACTTGGCGACCGCCTGCACGTTGGCGAGATGACCCTTAATGATTTTAACCAGTGCCACCTGCGAAGTCGAGCCATCGCGGACCTGAAGCACATTAAGGGTCCGGAGAGTGAGTTGCCGCGTGCCCATCTCACCAGAAACAGGATTGTTGTCGATACACCGGGTCAGAATGTCCGTGGTCATTCGTCGCTCCTGCTCGACTCCAGACAAACGGATGTTGGGCGTATCCTGGGGCGGGGGCGGAAAGTGCTCGCGGACGGTGAAGTAAGAGCCAATTTTAGCATAGGGGATGTCAGGCTTGGCGATATGGTGGAGGGTATCGTAATCCAGCAAGGAACCCGGAACCATTGTGAATAGGATATAGATTCGATAGTCGATTGCTACTTGCCTGCAAAAAGAATGTACTGCAAAGTCCGGGAGGTGGACAAGGAGAGAGGGTGTGGTCGAAGGGCGGTTCAGTGCACTTATCCACTTGAGACATCAATGGCAGTTTCCTCTGTTCTGCTAGCTACTTCCGTCTTGTGATTGTGGTTGTCTTTCTTCAAAGGTATGTTGCCACGGGGTTCTTCACACAATCACCTCTTGCCTTCGTACTTTCTAGCACAAAGTGAAGGTAAATGCCAGGGTCTACCACCCCTCCAACTTCTGCAGAGTATCAGCGCCGAGGGGACATCTAGGAAGAGTAACAAGTATATCAATATAAGTTATTGGAGTATCCGAGGGGGTGATTCACCCTTCCCTCAGGCTTTCTAACACAACAGCATTCGTAGCAGTAACACATAACACCAAGCAGGTAAGGATCTTGTCGAAACATTAAACACACTTGAAAAGCATTGCATTATCGACATGACTTGTTGGTCACCGACCAAGAGCCGGAATTTACAGCAAGATGTCTAGCATTGGGCCCGTCAGGCTTTCCTACCAGAGAATCCCTGATCGATTCCACACCACTTGTGAGTCAACGCAGATTAGATATCAAAGCAATGTTCAGACACATACTCAACTCACAATCCTCGAGGGCGTGCCAAAAACCATCCCACAACCGTCATCGCCATGAGATACAACAATATATAACTACAAAAACACAATCCCTCCGAGCACACATACCTCGAAATCCAAGCCCAACCACCACCTAAACCCAACCGCCCCAGACCCCCAACCCAAGCAACACCACAACCATCAACCCCACCGACTCCCCCACCCGCCCCTTCAACCCACCCCCACCACCATTAGTCTTCGTCCCCGACGTGACACCGTCCTCGCCCTTCTTCACCTCCAGTTCCCGCACCCCCTCCTCTCCAGCCACCACTGACCCAGACCCCCTGGTCTCCCCGTCTTTGGCAATCTCCGCCTTGACATAGGAGATATACCGCTTCACGTCCGTCGGAAGCGCCCCGTACCAAGCCGGTGTGGCGCCCTTGCTGAAGTCACTGGCCAGCGCGCTGCGGCGCGAGGGGATGAGCAGCTCGGCGAGGGCGCTGGGCGGGATCTGGGTGATGATCGAGTGGGGAGGCGGGGCGATGGTTGCGAGGGAGCGCTTGAGGTTGAGATTCAGATTGAGATTGAGGTTGAGGTTGGGGTCTGCGTTGGGAGTTGGGATGGTTTTGGACGGTGCTCTATCTGAATCAGCGTTTTTGAGCATAGATCATGGCTGCATGGAAGCGGGAGAGGGAAGATACAGTGATATCGACTCGGTTGGGGTGGGCTCGGGGTTGCAGAAGGCGGGTGCTGCGAGAAGCAAAATGGGGCTGAGATGGAACTTCATTGTAGTGCTGTGTATCTTCTCTTTCTTTCTTTTTCTGTGTGTGCGTGTGTGTGGATTTTTGGCTGGGTTGTCTGGAGGTGGTAGGTTTTGTTGACACAGGAGCAGGGTAGGTTGCTATATTTCCGATTCTTATTGCTATTGGTATCGCACCAGGAAGCGTAGCAGACCGAAGGGCATATAATGAGCCAGTCTGTCTTCTCTGAATCAACTGAATCATGAGTAATTCAAACCGTATGAGCATGTTTTGCCTGGCTAGACCCATTTTTGAGCTTGTTGATCAGGTACTGTAAATAGAGTTTCGAGTCGCGTTCATGATGTCCAAGAAGATATGGCGGCCATGTGCTCGAACCAATCCATGAGAACATACAGCATAACTACGAATGGAAACCGCAATTTGATCATCTTGAGCCGGTTGAGTTGTACGATTGATCATGAATAGGAGTTCATGCGGCTTTCCAACTTTACTTGGATGTGGAACAGGTCCGATACTCTTACTTCATCTGTCTTTAGGTAATAACACTGGTATATGGCCATTCCTAGACTATACGTTAATGTATGTATGACATGAGATAAATTGGATTCTAATCTTCCAAACACATCTGCAATTACCAGATCCAAAGCCAGGCTACTAATACAAGAAATACACCCAGAACCAGAACGTGACCAATTCATATGCCCATAAAGGCACTGTGTGTCACGAACCCTATCAAAGCTCAAATTGTATCAATATCGAATTTCACGGCATCAAGAATCAAATAAAGCACTCAACAAACTCGGGTGGGCCAGAAACCGCGCATCGGCTGCCATACCTTAATTTATTTAAACTTCGCCCTGAGCGTTGATCCCACTAGACTCCGATAAGCAATTCCTCATAATCGATTCAACCTGAAACACCCACCAACGTCAACCCGAAGACTCAAAAACGGGCATTTCCCACCTTGCTACCAGTCATGTCTTCCTCCCAGAATATTCCGTACAAGGGTTGCAGTCGAACCAGGAACTACCCCATTGAGCCATTCTCCGAAGGACGAAACACATCCACCGTCAGAATGACCCTGGTTGCCGCAGAGGTGCCATGACTGGTCATCTTGATAAACATCCAAGGAAATGTACTCCGTAGTACCGCACTGTTCGATCATCCCTCAAACCACCATTTTCTTCGATTTTGCCAGAGCTCCCGGAGCGATCGACCGGGTCGATAGCCCCAGGGTGCGGGAGACCGAGCACAGAGGAATTTGTCCCTGAGGGTGCCCACAATACCAAAGTCTGGTTCGCGTGCCCTGCAAGTAGTCAATTCACATGGATATGGATACATTGATCCATCAGCCTCGGAATGCCCAGTGCATTGGAAGCTCAAACATGAAACAGTGGTTTTGAACCCATCACCCTATCTATGAATTAAACTTTGCATCAATCACCCCTCCACCCAGGGACCACCCTCCTCATCAATTCAGATCTATAAACCCTTTTCATGCCCCCTACAGAGAAATCCTCCCCCTTCTGCTCTCTTTCATATACCATTACCCTTCCCTTGTATAAAGCTCTTAAGCTACCGAAAATGCCCAAACGAACCAGCACCTTCTCCTCCTCCTTCTCCTTCTCCTCCTCCTCCAAATCCAATACCAAGTCCAAACCCAGCCGCAGCCGCACCACCATGCCCCTAAAAACCTACCTCCTCGCCCTCCTCTTCACCCCCTTCGCCCTCGCAACCACAATCACAACCACAACCGACCCATCACCGCCCAACCCCATCGCCCCCCGCGCCCCCGCCTCCAGCGGCCTCCTCTCCGAGCTCCCCACCATCTTCCACGGCGCCACCGAGCTCCTCAGCCCGGAGACGGTCGACAAGCTCGAGACGATCGTCAGCGGCGGCGCGGTGCTGCTCGGGGGCGACACGCCGCAGAACCTGCAGCGGCTGCTGTCCGGGGCGAGCATCGACAAGCTGCAGCGCATCATCGACAACGCGGACCGCCTGCTGACGCCGGGGTTCGTGAACGAGACGACGCAGCTGATCGACATGGCGAATCCGGTGAGTTTGCCCCTTCTTCTCTGGAATCAGGTGTTGGGTACCTAGGTAGATGGGAGGGGATCGGGCTGATTGGGCGTTATAGCTGGTTTCGGATGTGGGGAAGATTATGAATGCGTTGATTGGGAGTACGTGATTTGGTTTTGCGGGGAAACGGAGGTAGGGGGGAGGGGCCCTTGGTATAGATAGCTGGTCTAACTATAGTTTTTAATGGATATGGATCTTGTTTTATGGTCTCTATTGAGCATACGCGCGGTTTCGTTCTCGCGGGGGGATTGGGGGTATTACGGAGGGGGTCAGGCGAGGCAAGACACTACTGTATCTGGTCTTGATATGTCTGCTGAGTAGATGGATTGCTCGTCGTCAAGTGAACGGTTCTCACTACTGCTAGATGAAGGCGCCCTCGATATACTGTATGCATTCCAAAGGATGGGTGGGAGATAGTACGCAAAGAGGCCAAAGAAATATCCTTTTAGGTAAAGCTATACCCCAGTTGAAATCCAAGAAAGCATGATAATCCAAAAGACACCCGCACATCTAACGCCGCCCCTATCAGATTTCCGGACCACCGTTCACTCTCCAATAGATTCAAATCATCTAAGCCACAAAACTCCTCCCCCTTCCCCATTCCCCTCCCTGCCTTGCCCTGAAAAGGATACACCCTCTCACCTCACCCCACAACCCCTCCCCCCTCCCTCCCGCCCCTCCGCTCCCCCAAGCAAGCCCGTAAAGGATACCCCCGCACCCACCCCGGCAATGCAGGATACACCGCGCCGCCGAACCCCGCCATCAGCCCCCGATACCACCCCCTCGTCCGCGCCGACGACCTCAGCCCGTACGCGTCCCGCACCAGTGGCGGGAGCAACTCGATCGTCACCCCCCGGAACACCGGCTTCATCACCCCCGCCATCCACCGGGGACACCGGTCTGCCACGAGGGTGCTCTGGTGCAGGACCGCCCGCGCCACCTGGTGCGCATCCGCCGTCACCGCCAACCGCGCCATCTGCCCGTCCCAGTAGGCCCAGAATTCCCGGCGGGTGGCCGGCCACAGCTCCCCCAGCGTGAGGGCCTGCACCACCAGCGTGAACTCCGTGTAGGCGCGCTCGGCGGCGCGGTAGTCGACGGGGCCGTAGGTGCGTTGGTAAAGGTCTGTGGCTGTTGTGTAGAGGGTGGCGGTTAGCCAGAGGAGGGTTTGCGGGCTGGTTGTTTTGGGGGGTGGGTTTTTCAGGGTCGGGGATGAGGTGGTGGAGGTGGTGGTGGGAGGGTGGAGTTGGGTGAGCAGGGTTGCTTTTTCGTGTGACGTCCCGAAGACGAGGATGGCGATTTGCTGGAGGGTGCTGTGGAGGGTTTGGGTGAGGCGGTCGGCGAGGCTGTTGCTGGGTTCGTGTTCGGTGATTGGGAAGACGGATCTGATACCTGGGTAGGCGGCTTGGAGGAGGAGGGCGGCGCCGGCGCCGGCGAAGAGGATCCCCTCGCGGAGGATCTGAGGGAGGATCTCGAGGTTGGAGAGGTTGTGCAGGTGGGTGGTTATGTCGGTGATGTCTGTTATGGTTGTGGGATTATGGAGGTTGGTGGAGGTGGTGCTGATGGCGGTGCCGCTGCCGCTGCTGCTGCTGCTGCTGCTGCTAGCTGTTGAGGGAACAGCGAAGATGTGCTCGAAAATGCTTTTCTCGTTCATGTTGATGGTAGTTGCTGTGCTGGGTCTTCGGGGTGGCGGCGGACTCGGTGGGAGGGGAGTATCCTCAGGGAAGACGCGATACATGATTGATATGGAGGTTGAGGGTTAACTAGCTTGGCGCTTTAGCTGTAGGACAAGTGCGATGTTGGGTATAGCGTGCACTACAGTGTGGAGTGATGAAACTGGTGTTTCATTGAAGAACATTGATCAATCTCAAAAGCCGTTGTTCGAACGATCAATTGCAGTTGCATCTCTGATGAACTCCCCAAAAGTTGCCACCCAGTAGATCCTCGTTTCGTCGCAAAAGTGAGCGTTGCCCTAATCCGTCCAGGACGCCGAATATCGGGGCTGATCGTCTTACCCGCCCACCATCCGCATGGATTCCAAACCTCCTCGTCTCCAATGGGTTCCACAGTATCTCCGGCTGATCGACAGGGTCAGGGTCCATGCAATCACACTGGGTGTAGCACTGGAACCATCCGTGCAACCTCCACATTTGGCTCTTCACAGCAATGATACTTAGTGTAGGAGCTTAGCCATCTGGCTCCTTGCCAGATGAAGGGCTTCTCATTCACCAACATCTTCCACCCACGGCCCTGGCCATGGCCACAAACCCTTCTAGCCTCAACTCCGAGGACGCCAAATATGCCTTGGGCACCCATCGGGGACCTTTGCCCTCGGAGGGTGTTGATAACGAGCACCTTGAAAAGACAAAGAGCATTTCGCTCGAGCCGGGCAAGCGCACGCGGGGACAGAGACTGCGTCGCCATTGGAGGAGATTCTGGTGCTGTTATGTCGTTGGAAGTATCATCTTTCTCGCCATCTTTCTGCCTATTTTGTACGGACAACCCCGAATGTGTCTTTAGAAGGATTTAGAAGAAACGCACCAGCTGACTGCCTGAGCAACAGCTTCCTCGTCATCCTCCCTGCCATCGCGCAGCGAGTGGTTGACGGGTCCACGCTGGTGCTGGTCCACGCCGACGTGCTCCAGCCACGCCCGGACTCGATGATGCTCCGGATCGACTCAGCCCTCAACCTCCCTCTCAAGATCCCCGTGCGCATCGACCCCATCACCATGGACCTCTTCAACCGCGACCGACCCGCGAACAACACCTGGGGCAAGGCCTACCTCCCATCGGCCCGCATCTACGGCAACACCACCCTGGCAACCAACAGCACCTTGACTCCGTTAAACGTGACCGAGTGGACCGAGTACGTCCGCAGCGTGGTTTTCGAGTCCCACGCCCCTCTCTCGGTCAGGGGCTCCACGACCGCGTATATCGGCAAGTTGAAGTCCCACGTCACCATGAACAAGGACATCCACCAAACCAGTATGTCGCCCCTTGTTCATGCTACGGCATGCAATAGAAATAACAAACTAACCACTCATGACCGGGATGATATAGCCCTCAACTCCTTCGAGGGCTTCTCCATCTCCGATCCGCAACTCCTCCTCTCCGCCCGCGACGACGGAACAAACCTCCTCGCCAACGCAACCCTCCCCAACCCATCCGCCATGACATTAGAGATTGTGCGTTCACCCCCTCCAGGCCCCCCTGTCCCCTTACCATCTTAACCTCCCCGCCTTCCCACCCTACTAAGCCATACCCCCCCATGACGGGAGAAACAGGGAACCACAACCCTAAACCTCTACAGCAACACCCTCCTCGTAGGCAACGTCACCCTCGACAACCTCACCCTCACGCCGGGCAACCACTCCACCCCGGTGCGCGGGGTGTTCGACCTGGGTAAGGTGATCGCCAATCTGGGCCGCGTGCTCCGGGACCAGCGCGACGCGATCAAGCGCGGGTACCTGGATCTGACGACCGTCGGCACGGACGTCACCTACGAGGGCGTGCAGGTGCCGTACTACACCGAGGTCATGCGGAACCTCACCATGACGGCGCAGGTGCCGCTCGGGAAGCTGGTGGAGAATACCCTGCGCGGGGTGCTGGTGAGGAACGGGACGAATGTGCTGGCGGGTTTGAATTTGACGACTGTGCCGGCGTATGTGCGGAGTGGATGAGTTGTGGGGGTGGGGGGGGCGGGAGCAGTTGAGGATATGTTGGATTGAGTGCTGGGAGGGAGAAGCTCGGGAGGACGGTGGTGGTGCTATGAGGGGCTTTGTTAGGTGGGTTTCTCTCTCTGGATTTTGGGTGTTGAGTGTGTCGAGAGGTTTGGTTCAGGTTTGGCCGCGGTGACAAGCTTGGTCAGAATATATACTTAGTTCTGTGCTGTTCACTCCGAACCCAAATTCGCAAGCGGGACTTGTGGAAGGGGCTATCTTCATTCAATGCGATTGTCAGTACTATATCTAGCTCTCTTGTCCAGCACATCCTGCGTTTAGAGTAATTGTATGGGCCCCAATTCGCTTAGGGTCACACTCGAAGTCCCTGCTCTATCTAATTGTATCGTCAGTCAGCTGCTATCACTGAATTATGTAACCATCTTTCCAGATCCATTTCAACAAACAGGCAAGATGGCCGAGTTGGTCTAAGGCGTCAGGTTAAGGTTACCTTAGCACACAGCTTCTACAAAGCTTCCTGATCATCGTTTGATGGCGTGGGTTCGAATCCCACTCTTGTCATTACTTTTTGGTCTTTGTTTGTCTGTTCTGCGGTAGACGATGGAGGGCGATAAGGAACGGCTTCTTGGCACGATGGCGGGAGGGAGGGACTTTCACTACCCAATGAACCATGGGTGCAGTACAGTTCGAGTTGTATAGCATGCAGGTGACCCCAGCAGGAGCCGACTATATATGAGCCAGATCCACCACCCCGCCTGGTCAGTGAATATCAGCATGCATCATCCATCCTGCGATGTGCACAGTCCAAGACTTACCAAAGTCCAAACACAGACATGTTACAGTAGCGATTAGACAGCCCATCGACCCGCTAGAAGTGGTGCATTAGACCCCGAATATTAGTTGTAGAGTCAAATGAGAGCACCCGCAAGGACTCCGAAACGGACAGGGACGATATCTACCGAGTATGATCTAGGCTCATGCCCACGTACCCCAGAACTAAGCAACATCCCGAGGTTCCCAGCAGCAGAACGTATTGCGCCATCCTCGAAAAGTTTCAAAGCACTTGGTCAAGTCATACCTACCATGCCACTAATTTCCCCTGGAGTCAACCACTCACGTTGACAAGTAAAACACCCCGAGCGTTTCCCCCACCCCATAAATGCCGCAGGCAAAACACGAGTTCGGCACGACAGGTCATACTCTCGCATCCTCACGAAGAGCTGGATCCTTCCGTCTCGAGATGAGCAATCCCGCACCGAATCGCGAATCTCGATTGGCCGCGGAGAAAAGAGGAGATAACGGGGTTGCGGGCACAGGCACGGGTCGGGGGTTGTTCATGGATACCCCTCCAAGCGTATATCGGATTTATCCCGGCCAGGGGCCCTGGGAGACCATGCTGGGGCTGACAGGCGTCGTTGACTCTTCTCCTTGGACGCCGAAGTCCGACTTATCAAGAGCGGTTGCGGAATGTTGCTCACGGCGGCCGCGCACTAGTCCGCAGGTTCTGCTGACTACACGGCTCTAACTATAACATGATTTTGTCAATACGAGCGAGTATCACGCCCCGGAAGCTGAGAATTGGCTACCTCGTAAAAGTTGATGGCAAGGTTGATCCTCAGATCGTGAGATTCCAAAGTATATACAGCGAACGGTCATTATCATGCAAAATGCTCTATAGCAAAGATAAGCAAGATAAAGGAAACGAAAAAAAAAGAAGAAAAGAAGTGGAAGGCATCAAAGGCAAACAACCGATGATTTCCGACTTCAGCTCAAGGTGATATAGCAATGGTGGCTCCCTCGAACTCCAGATAGTCCAAAGCAAAAAGCACCGGGCAAATGTGATGATTCGCAAAAATATTATATAGTTATGCTAGTTGAGTTGAACGTAGTTTGCTGAGAAAATTGTTAGTGACTGCTTGCTTGAAAGCGGATTTGAGTTTGGCCGGCGCATTGTATCTTACCTGGAAATTGCCCCTCCCTACCGCTGACACGTCCAGTCCACCATTCGTTCTGGTTGTCGGTTCGGTGGATAATCTCGATGACCTCGCCTGCAGAAAAGCTGAGGTCCCCGTGCGCCTGCGCCTCGTAATCGTAGAGAGCGGTGACCGTCTCAACGGGCGCGCTAAACTGGGCGGGCTTGGGCTTCGGGGGCGGCGGGGCGGGCTTGCTCTTGGCCGCAGCCGTGTAACTGCCGCCGGCCGCGCCCGCTGTGTATGGGGGTGGTGGGTTCTCGACCACATCGGGGTCCTTGTTTCGTGATGGGTAGCCACCCTTGTTCTCCTGGGACAGCTTGTCCTTGGGTCCAAACTTGGACCCTGGCCGGCGTCCTCCCGTGGCCTTGAAGTGCACAATCGTGAGCGCCTCCGCCTGCTCCTTGACGTCACCGCGCTTCGCCTCGAATGCCTCCTCGATGTCCAGCTGCAGGTTGAAGTAGCCGATGTTGATACTCTGCATTCGTTCGTGGAGGGTGTAAAAGACGTTCAGCTGCATGTAGTAGAAGGATTGGAAGAGCGGGCGGATGAACTCGGCTTCGAGCGCAAAGAGTTTGGGCAGCTCTTCCTTGAGCAGGTCGTTGTAGTAGTTGTATTCCTGCGTGGCCTGCTCCACGTCGTTTTCGGCCTTGTAGAGAGCCTTCTCATCCTTGAGCGACTTGTCCTTCTTGTCCTGCAGTTTCTTGAGCGAGTTGTTGTGACGATCGTAGTCCAGCTTCTTGTGGTCCCGTTTCACAGCCACCTTGCGAATGACCTTAATCACTTCCAATAATTGCTCCGCAGGACTGATGACGCGGGTCTCAATCATCTCCAGCTCGGGGACGAGGGACTCCTGCAAGTCGCGCACGATTGCCTCGTATTCCTCACACGCCCTGATTCCTTCCGGGTTGCCTTCAATAGTGTAGGAACTGGGGTCTGACGCACGGCCGGAGATAGGTTTGTATAATTCCGTCATCGCCTTGGAAAAGCCGATCTGGTGGTTCAGCATGCCTGCCAAGTTCGGTCAGCAACTGGAGGGTGAGGGGTAGGGGGGGAAGGGAACGGGAGGGGGATGGAGCCGAAAATTGAGAATGCGGTCATACCATTGATGGCGTCGAAATACTTCTTCGACTCATCGTGCAGCTTTTTGGTTTCCTTCTCGAGTTCCTGAAATCTGCGCTCCGCATCCTGGTAGACCGGGTCCTTAGTGTGTTCACCGATGTTGAACCGGGCCTTAAACTGTTGCGGTGCGCGAACAATGCTCTTCTGAAAGCCTTTCAAACTCATCTCTGATTTGCCGCAGGTAGCGCAACCCCGCGGAAGGAGCCGGTTTAGATAGAATGGAGGGGTGGAGGTCGTTCAGTACTGGACTGGAGATGGTAAACAGGGGAATTAAGGGAATTAACACGGTCGGAGAGTCTTCAGGAGAGCAGAGTGGTGGAAAAGGGAAGAAGTGGGGGGAGGAGTTCCTTTTGTTCAGCACCGTCACTAGTTGGACTAAGTAACTTAAGGTAATAATTCGAGAGCCGGTGACGGTTAGACTGCGCTTCTCTCGGGCTGGGCACCGTGGCTGAGCTATGACATAACTGTGGCTGAGGCCTGCGCGTGCGGAAACTGAAGCAAAGAATGGAGGGAGGTTCAAGGAATAGTGGAGTAGTGTGATCAAATCCCTAAACATATTTAATAGCAGATGGACTGCATTTCTCAGTGAGTCGACCTTATATTGAATTCTTGCTCTTCTTCAAGGCAACAATCCATGTAGAGTATGTACGGGTAAGTCGATCGCAGCTGGTTGTGGCAAAGAGATCGAAGCGTAGGGCCGAACGCAAATCCGGGTCTCGGACACTCATTCCTTCCTTCAGCCTATGCCCCTCCCCCCATGGATGTCATTAGGCACCAGAATATCTCTCATCTTCTGCCCGCTTCTGTCTGCGACAGGTGCGTGACCTTGGGTCTGAGCTTGAATTATTATGTATGAGGTATGAGGTACAGTACCCCTTGAAACTGGGGAACCACCAGCACGGAAACCATCTGCTAAATCCGGGGTCGAAGATGCTTTGTTGATTGTTCGTCATTGCCCTTGCCATTATCCATATGACAAAAGAATGTTATGCCTGGAATTGAATGCCTAAGGCTCACAATATGTACGTACTCGTACTCCGTAGTTACTCCATAGTGAACAATCGGACCATCCCCGATCAGCCTCCGAACTGGAGGATATGCACTTCCAACCCCTCCTCTCCACTAGGCTCTAGCCCTACGAATAGTTCTCCGTATCTAATCAGTAGTTAATCACCCTTTCTCCGACCTCGCAATGCCGCTGGGCTGGCTCTCGAAACACCGAGACCGCCGCTCAAACGGGAAATGCCCGGAGTATGAGTCTGACAAATCCGATCGGGGCTAGCGGGCTCGGCAACTAATGATATAACCGGATCCAAACTTTTTCCTCACCCAGCGAACTCACCCCCCCCTTCTGCTGCTGTCATTCTGCATCTGTTTCATCTCACTGTCCATCCAACCTTTCATGGTACAGTCGCAGAGTTAATTGCATTATGTCCAGCATGACCCCTACTGCCTTGAGACAGGCATCCCGAGCCTATGCGCGTCGCTTCCAGCATGGCTCCCTGAACTCCTTCCTGCCCAAACGGGCGCTCGCCACCGCTGGCATTGTGGCCCGGAGATCCTATGTCACCGAGACCAAGGCTGGAAGTGCCCAGGTCACGATCGATACCGCTATCAAGCAGGAGCAGAAGACTTTTGCCAACCAGACCGGCGTCAAGCCCGGACGGGTGGAGCTACCTAGCTCCAGCGTCTCCGGAGATGCCGCGATGAGCCCGACCGCGGGCATCTTGAAGCAGGCTACGATTATGGATCAAGGAACGCGACCTGTCTATCTTGACATGCAAGCGACAACCCCGACCGATCCCCGCGTGCTTGATGCGATGCTGCCCTACCTGACTGGCATCTACGGCAACCCCCACTCGAGAACCCACGCCTACGGGTGGGAATCCGAGAAAGCTGTCGAGCAAGCCCGTGAACACGTCGCCAAGCTTATCGGAGCCGACCCCAAGGAGATCATCTTCACCAGCGGTGCCACTGAGAGTAACAACATGAGCATCAAGGGTGTCGCTCGGTTCTTCGGCCGCTCTGGAAAGAAGAAGCACATCATCACCACCCAGACTGAGCACAAGTGTGTTCTGGACAGCTGTCGCCATCTCCAGGATGAGGGCTTCGACGTTACATACCTGCCCGTGCAGAATAACGGTCTGATTCGCATGGAGGACCTCGAAGCCGCCATCCGCCCGGACACTGCCCTTGTCAGTATCATGGCTGTCAACAATGAGATTGGTGTGATCCAGCCATTGGAGGAGATTGGCAAGCTCTGCCGTTCTAAGAAGATCTTTTTCCACACCGATGCCGCCCAGGCGGTCGGCAAGATTCCCATGGACGTGAACAAGTTCAACATTGACTTGATGTCCATCTCCGGCCACAAGATTTACGGCCCCAAGGGTATTGGAGCGTGCTACGTCCGCCGCAGACCTAGGGTTCGTCTCGAGCCTCTGATCACCGGTGGTGGTCAGGAGAGAGGCTTGCGCAGTGGTACCCTCGCTCCTCATTTGATCGTCGGTTTCGGTGAGGCCAGTCGCATTGCTGCCCAGGATATGGAGGTACGTTCATTATCTCTTTTGCCGTTTTGCGCTGCCTGAATATTTTTCTGTGGCGTGTTGGCCATGATTATATGCTTTAACTGTATCACCATCTGAGTGATTGCGGGGGTAGCTACATGCTTTTGCATGTTCCCGCGGCTCAATGATGTACATAGCAGGGGTGATGAGCCGAGTTGCCTGCCACTGATTGGTGTCGATCTAACCTTGTGTGAGAGGCGTATGCTGACCATCATGACTGTATAGTACGACTCGAAGCACATCACTCGCCTCTCGAAGCGTCTGAGCGACGCACTTCTCGGCATGGAACACACTACTCTCAACGGAGATGCTACTCGTCACTACCCGGGCTGTGTCAACATCTCTTTTGCCTACATTGAGGGCGAGTCCCTTCTGATGGCGTTGAAGGACATTGCCCTGTCGTCTGGTAGTGCTTGCACTTCTGCCTCGTTGGAGCCGAGCTACGTCCTGCGGGCGCTTGGTAGCAGCGACGAGAGCGCGCACAGCAGTATCCGCTTTGGTATTGGCCGGTTCACGACGGACAGCGAGATTGACTACGTGCTCAAGGCCGTGCAGGACCGGGTTACCTTCCTTCGTGAGCTGAGCCCGTTGTGGGAGATGGTGCAGGAGGGCATTGATCTGAGCACTATTGAGTGGAGCCAGCACTAAAACCTTACTTTCTTTTCACTTCTGCGTCTCAGAATGACTGGAATGTGGTCGGGACATGTTCACTGGGTTGTTTGCTTTTTCTTATCCACGATATCAGCGGTGGTACGGCGTTCGGATAGCGTGTAACATTATAGGCCTGGGATGATCTGAGTGAGATTGTATAGAGAATGGATCTTAATGACTGATTGAGATGTGTTGGTTGGTTCGATTTGTAGGTGTAGTTGATGTAAGTGGAGTTTACCATGGTAACTTCGGTTAATTTCGAAGGCCTTCGGGATGGCAGCATGCAAATCAGCCGAGAGACATGCTTGATGTATGGATCATGATGATGATGGTGAGCTGCAAAGTGCGAGTAGTTATGCGGCTCCAGCGTTGAGGCACGTGGGCAGGCTGCAGCGGAGAGCAACCACCAACAGGAAGCGTGGTGATGTAGTGCAAGATAGGAGATATGGGAGATTTTTCTGTTTTTCTTGAGGGGATTGCAACAGACAGACAGTTCACAGCAGCATCAGGAGATAAGCATGCTTGAAAACGGAGGAATGAATAATACTATGTACTCAGCCCCGAGGTCGGGGAATTGAACTGCATCAAGATGGGTACAGTACGTACGTACTGTAAGTTACTCCGGACAATAAGGTAAGGTCGGGTCGAACTCCACACAGACTTCGTCCCTCACCGCAGACCGGAATGGGGTGGCGTGGGTGGGAGCGAACACGCCCCAAGACTCGCTTAACCGCCCGATCTCGCACTCGCCCCCCTCTTTGCCGCCCTCCGGTTCATTCTCTAGCACTCAGACTAGTTCTCCCCCGGTGGACACCCCTTTCGCTCACACCCAACGCCACCGTTGGTGCTTCATACTTACTCCATGCTTCATCCGCCAGCTCTGCCCATGGGAACTATATCTCATCCACCCAGTATCAACCATCTGAACCAGTCGCTTGATCAAAAGATTCTCATCTCTATACATTCTTGCAACCAGTTCCACCCCCCAGCGCCCTGCTTCAGGTCTTGACCACAACCATGACCATGACTACCACACCTCCATCGATCTTCCAACAGGCTCAACAGGCAGACCTCCCTCTCTATAAGTCGAAGCCGTCCCTCCTGGTCCGGCCCACTTGAACTCTGGCCGTCTGTCTTGCCCATCCACGGAATAGTTGACCGTCCCTATGTTCACCTCAACTCAAAACGAGCAGGATGAAATGATGACTACCCCTGTCTCGTGTCCGCACGGCTTAATTCCCGCTGGAAATCAGCTCATCGCCGGTCTTTGTCCGGATTTTCACGCTGATTAATTCACCCCTCAACCCCCCCCCCCGGTTATTCGGTCTCTAGAAGGAGGTCCCGGTTTGCAACCATTTAACTTCCCGGCACATTGCCTTTCTCTTCTCTATTTTGCTGACTTGGGTTGACCAGGCGTGTCTTGTTTTCGTTCCTGGTAAACTTCTTTCCTATTCCCTCCCCTTCACACCCTCCGTGGCCTTCCGTGGCAACCGAGATTTATATTCTAAGAAAATCCGAATCTCAAACCGTCTTCCATGCTTGTTTTCTTCCCTCCTTTCCACCCCTGGTCATGGTAGAATAGACACGGATTTGTTTTCTTGCTTCTTCTTTTGCGTTGCCACTTCCTGGCTCTCATACAACGCATCCTGACACCAGTCAGACCGACTCTCCGCGGTTGATCCCTGATCCATTTGAATCTGGCCTGAACTCGACCAACTCGCTTGTCACACGACATTCGCCCTGCGAACACTTGCACTGGCACTCGCACAGCCATCTCGGAGCTTCTTCTCCTTTCGTACATCAGGTTCCAGATACACGACTGCCAGCTCTGCTTTGCAGGTCCTCAAGCCTGACCAAGATATTGCACGTGAGCAGCAGCAGCAGCTTCGAATAAAATAAGCCGTTTGTCTGGCTGCTGTGGTCCTTCTTTCCATTCACCTTGATCCCTTTCCCGGTGCGGTTCTTGGCACCACTGCAGTATCATTATGCTTCCCCCAATCCCAGCTCTGGCGGACTACGGCATATCGCCAGACCATGGGTTTCTACCACCCGAGCCCCCCATTGACGTGCTGCCCGACCCATACTATGCTCGATGGGAGTGGATTGTGTCCAACATCCAGGCCCTCCTGATCAGCCGACGGATCCGAGAGGCGGTGGATCATATGCCCATGCTATCTGTTTCATATCTGCAAGACGACAGCGAGTGGAGGAGGGCGTACGTGGTACTGGTGTTCATGCTACATGGTTATGTCTGGGGCGGAAGCAGGCCCGCCGAGGTTGGTGACACGGGAACCCCTACGAAGTGATACATCCTGAGCTAACGATGGTGGTGGGTCTGCAGAAAATCCCTCCCCAATTGACGGTGCCGCTGTTCGACGTGTGTGATCACCTGGGCCTGCCGCCAGTCGCGACCTATGCGGGCGTGTGCCTGTGGAATTACAAGCCGATCTTCCCCGACGAACCGGTGGATGACCTGCGTAACCTGGACAGCATCAACACCTTCACGGGCTCCTACGACGAGAAGTGGTTCTACCTGGTGTCGGTGGCGATCGAGGCTCGTGGGGCGCCGTCCATCCCGCTGGTGCTACAGGCCATCGCGGCCGCGCGGGCTGGCAACAGCCTCGTCGTGACCGAGTGTCTGCAAGGATTGGCCGAGGTGATCGACGAGGTGGGCTCCCTGCTGGAGCGCATGTATGAGCACTGCGACCCGTACGTGTTCTACCACCGCATCCGGCCATATCTGGCGGGCAGCAAGAATATGGCGGACGCCGGGCTCCCCCACGGGCTGCTGTACGACACTGGCCGTGGTGAAGCAGAGTACCGGCAGTACGGCGGGGGCAGCAACGCGCAGAGCTCGCTGATCCAGTTCTTCGACATCGCCTTGGGGATCGAGCACCGTCCCACGGGCGAGACCACTCGTCCTGGTGGTACCGCCAGTGACGAGCAGAAGGAGGGGGTGGTTGGGGCGCCCCGCCACGGCTTCATCCAGGAGATGCGCTCGTATATGCCCGCGGCCCACCGCCGCTTTCTGGAGCATGTGAGCGCGGTCGCCAATCTCCGGGAGTACGTGGAGGCGCGCCGCTCGGACAAGGCGCTGTGCATTGCGTACGATGCGTGTCTGTCGATGCTGCGCGTGATGCGCGACAAGCACATCCAGATCGTCTCGCGGTACATCATCATCCAGTCGCGCGACGCCCGGCCGGGCCGGCGCGCCACCAGCCCCAAGCGACCGCCCCAGCAGCAGATGGCGCAGCCGACGAACCTGGCGACCGCCCGCTATGGGGACAAGGCGGACCCGAAGAAGCTACGGGGCACGGGGGGCACCGCGTTGATTCCGTTCCTGAAACAGGCGCGGGACGAGACGGGCGAGCCAGCCATTGACGCGTGGGCGCGCCGCCTGCTGAGCAACGGGCCGTCGGAATCCAGTTTTGCGGCGCTGAGCAAGGTGGGCGAGAACCACGATGGGAATCTCCAGGTGGTGGGCTTGTCGGGGACGTGGGCGGCGGACGATAGTGAGGGAGGGATATGTCATTGGTAGGGTTTTTACCTGGTTGTGCCTTTTTTTTCTTTTTTTTTTTTTTTCTTTCTTTTCGTTTTTACCGTCTTAGCCAGCATTGAGCGATCTATCTCATTATCTCATATTTCATGTTTGTATCTCATGAGCGTGATGGTCGTGTGGGGATCCACAAATTGGCATTATACTCAGTATGTATGTACACCTGTATAGATCGATCGACCCAGAATGAACCACAAACAAGCCTTTTTCCAACTTGCAAGACTATGTAATTCCTGATTGTCCCACGTCATGGATGTGCATTTCCGATGTCAGAGGGTTCAGTGGTTCCTGGGGAATGACGTCGATGGAGGGGAAGGGAAAGGGGTGGCTTGGGGAGGTGACGTCATTTGGGGGGGCGTGTTTTACCCCAGATGAAGCCTTATAAAAACATCACCACCACCACCACCTCTTGTGTCCTCATCATCATCAACCACAACCCAAACAAACCACAAGCTTTTACTACTACATCCACCTTCCACCCAAGAAACCCACTTCAATCTCATTTCACGAACACAAGTCAAACCAAACCACCAAAATGTCCAACGAAAACTCCTCCACCCTCAAGTCCTACCTCGACCAGGCCACCGGCGCTGCCCAGCGCGCCATCGGCTCCTTGACCGGCGACGCCTCTACTCAGGTACATACACCCCCCCCACTACCCCTTACATTCGCACCCCCTCCCCAAAAACAAGAAGAAGTACTAAGAGAGAACAGAACCAAGGCGAAGCGACGCACCAGCAGGGCAAGGCGGAGAACGAGGCGAGCCACACGACGGCGAAGCTGGGGCCGGTGACGGCGGACCCGGCGACGGGGGCGACGGCGACGGACCACCCGAAGCGCACGGACGGCAGCTGGGACCAGACGGTGGGCGCGGCCAAGGAGTCGCTGGGCAACCTGGTGGGCAACGAGTCGCTGCGCCGCGCGGGCCAGGAGCAGAACGCGGCCGGCAAGCAGCAGGAGGCCGAGGGCCAGCTGAAGGACTGGGGCGAGGGCGTCAAGGGCCGCGTCGAGGGCAGCGTCGGCAAGGTCGCGGCCGCCGTGACGGGCGACGAGGCGCAGGAGCAGCGCGCCAAGGAGGTGCACGACACCGGCAAGGTGCGGCAGCGCGGCGCGGAGGCGGATATTGAGCGCCGGGCTTAGTTCTCTCTTCTTTTTGTGGGGACGGAGAGGGGTTATGATTTATGATATCCTGTAGTTTTAGGGGAATTTATTGCTTTTTTCATTCTGGTTATCCTTTCATGTAGGTTGAGGTGGGCCGGGGAATTTGAAAGGAAGGGGGGTCCGGGGGTTATCCCCCGGGATTGTCTAGTTGTAGGATTTATATTGAGGTGGGCCAGGAAGCTGAAGAAAAGGGGGGTCCGGAGGTTCTCCCCCGGGAATGTTTAGTTGTAGGATTTATATTGAGGTGGGCCAGGAAGCTGAAGAAAAGGGGGGTCCGGGGGTTCTCCCCCGGGATCGTCTAAATGTAGGACTTAGGGTGAGTTGGGCCAGGAAGATGAAGGAAAGGGGGGTCCGGGGGTTCTCCCCCGGGAAGTCTTAGTCTGCTAGTATATGTGGGTGAGGTGCATGAGTAGCTTAGTGTATGCATGTACTACGTACATGTGGATTATGATTTGCATTATGCATGTGAGGTTAACGTGGGATATCTTGTGTATACTTTTACTAGCATGTACACTCCAGTAATGTGCCGATGTTGCAATTGTGCAGCTGTAAACTCAATATGCGGGGATTTCCGCTAGTGCTTTTTCAATATACGCTGGGATAAGTCTCCCACCTGGTTGAAGAGGTATTTTGAGGGAAATAGCAGGGATTGAGGGAAACTACAGCAGCAGGGCGATCCAGTTGCAGCTTGTGGTATTACATGCAAGCCAGAATTCGTTCGTCGAACTCGACAGCAGGCGCGGACTTGCGTGATCTTATGTCATTTCTTCCTACGTGCCAAACTACTACCCCTGTAGTCTAACAAGCTGTGGGTGGTGGAAAAGGCCAATTCTTCGCAGCTGCTTGGGGCGTGATCTCCTCGCTCATGGTTTCAATATACAAGTCGTACAGCTCCCTGTTTGCCTTTTCGGTCGCTTCCCAGCGGTCATTTGGAACCCAGCCGGTATCATCGGTGAGAAGATGGTTCTTCACGATACCACACAGATAAAGCCTATCCTCATATTGCGATTTTTGTTCACCGTGCCTGCGACGTTCGTTATCTGATATCCGGAAGGGACAGTTGCCTGGGAGCTCCAGTGAAGACCAGTCCTGGAACAGGCGAATCAAGCAATGGCGCAGGGGCACCAAGCTACCGTGGGAGAATAGCTGGCAGTAGGTGAAGGGCTGCCATAACCTGGAGTCAAGTTTCATAGCATTGTAAGCACCCTGGTTGTGTACAAAGCTGGACATCTCGTAATATTTCGACATCGAAGCCAACTTCTTGTTGTTCATAGCCTGTTCCCTTTGCTCGGGACTAAGGCCGTCGAAACCATCTGGTAAGCTGGGTAAGACGGGACCAAACATGTAGTCCTTTGGTGGTCTAAGAAACTCGGGGAATCGAGCTTGTATGAACAAAGGACAGATCTGAGACAACTGCCAATCGATAATCCCTTCAATGACACTGGGCTCATTAGGAGAAACAAAGATATTTCCTAGATGTAAGTCTGTGTGCCATAAGACAGGGTCTGAGGCACCTGTCACGCGTGGTTCTTGAGACAAGATCGGTAGTACCATGTTCAATTTCTCCAGAAGGCTTCGATATTCATCGATCGACTGTGATTCGTCAAAATGATGTAGTTGACGTTGCACCTCGGTCTCCAAACTTGCAATATGAGCAAGCTCGCGCTGGACAATCGACGACGCATATTCTGGAAAGTGCATCCCTACAAGATGTCAGTACCGCTCGTCAGATGGCAGCGATATAGCACAGATGCAGGAATACCTACACGGGCCAATATCTTTTGATACTGATTGGAATTTATCAACGCAATTGCCGTGCCACCATGTTCGTTTACAAGACGGCCCGATACAAAATAGCTCTTCAGGATCAAGCTCCGGAGGGAGTGGATACTGTCGACACGTAGCAGGTAACGAGTCACGGAGAAAAAGACTTCCGTATGCTGGAAATGAGATATTGGCAAGCTCCTTCTCAACTTGCACAACTTGATCGATAATTTTGTAGCGCTCCAACGTGTCCATTGCCTCCCAAGTCTCTGACAAGGCGATACCCCTAATCCTTTCCATGATTATGAATTCGGCACCAACCGAATTAGCAGCGTCAGAGCTCCAGGCGATAACCTCCGGAACCCGAATAGACGTCCTTGACCGCACTAGAAAAGAAAAAGTGTAAGCACACGCTGAGGCGAGTCTGAGAGCACACAATACATACGAAACTTCAAAGTGGCAACTTCCGAAGCCGTGGTCATTGATGGTGGGCCGGCATTTGGGCACGGAATCCTTGCTACGGCCTCGTTGCCATCATCCATAGTGAGAAGTAAAGCTTTGTTAAAGTTTCCCTCCAGCTTGACGACGCGAATGCACTTCGTTGCATCACTAAAACATGCTGCAGCTAGGCGACAAAGAGCGTCGAGATCGAACTTTACATAACGTAACTGCTGTTGGGCTTGTTCGTCAACGAGCCATCGACCTGATGTGTAGCGAAAGAGATCTTCTGATTTCCCTGCATTGAGCTCAAGTGCCGCATTAGCTATCTTCTCATATACCGGCTAGATGATGAAACAGGCACTTCAGATAGCGCACCTATGTGGTTCAGGGAGGAAGACTCGTTCACCGATATTGTTTGGTAAGACGCTCGGTTCGGGTGCACCAACGCCGCATTAGGAATGCGACAGGTAGCAGCTAGAACACTGTGAGATGAGAATCGAGGAGGTAAAGGTCCGGATATCCATCGAGAAAGACATGGAGACGAGAGCTGTCTCCACATAGTATGAACAAAGCTTTGACTGGGGCTGGAGTGAGAGTATCACCATGTGGCTCGAAGGCCAGGGCGGAAACGAGAGCAAAACGGAACGAATACTAAAAAGAGCGAATCACGTGGAATGGCCTGCCATCCTTGCATACCCGCAAGTCGTGGCATTCTGAGGTTTTTACTCAAAGCAGAAGCGGGTGATAGATAGTACAGTAGTAACGAAGTATAGGCGTAGTAATTGCCGATGTGCAGAGGTGGGGCGATGAGTAGGTGGGCTCGTTCGATTCCAATATCAAACCAACGTGGCCAATAAGATTTGTGTCTTCTATAGATTGTGGTGGAGAGCTTCGCCACGGCCCACCTTAGCAGGTCAAAGCATCTGCCAGCTGGTGGTCGAGGGGGTGATGTTCTAGCACCCATCTTCTTGTAGAGACTCCTCACATTTTGTAGTTGTTTTCCTCGACCATAGTAACGCGACCCAAGCCAAGGTCCCATATCCCTGAATCCATCGTTGGGTTCATTTTGCAAGTGGCAGGCAAACTGTACTCCACAATTCCAATCTTCGACGAATAGCTCCTTGTAGGGCGATATGTGTAATACCTTGCATGACATTCACCCTCCTGGAGATACGGAGCTGGAAAAGAATGTCTGGTTGGTTCGTTGTTTCTGTGGTATCAGCTCGAACGGACCGGGCATTAGAGAATATACTGGGCCTGAAGACAGCGATGGACTTTATTCCTGTTGATGTCGACTTCCGCTTCTGCGTACAGGCCAACATCGAGCGGCTGCCAGACTTCGTCACCCAGGCCTACAACAATGACCGTGAGTCCTGCCTTCGGTACCTTACATCTTATGCCAGGAAACGCTGGCAAAAGCGGCTCTCAGAGACTGCTCAACAGAGATGGAAGAAGGAGCAGGCTGGTGAAGAGCAGGCTGGTCTCAGAAGACGACTTATAAAAACGCCACTCTATCAAGGAACCAAGCGTGCCAGGATAGCCTCTCCGATTCCGTCTAACATGCGTGCAAAGCCCGATGAGACAACTGCCGGTGAAATTCCTACCTTGCCGGCTGCGGTGCTATCGGCTGCGGAACCCTATCGGAGAAATTGTCAAAATGACCCCGCTGGGGTCATCTTAGGCTACTATGATGATCCTATGGGACCTCTGGCGCCGGGGATGGATATTGATCATTTCTGGGAATATGGAGATTGCGATCAAGAGGGGCCCGTCAGCGAGTGAATGCCAGCCTCTATAGCGGTCTGCACCCGGCTGTCAACAACGAGTCTCATGGATCACGAGGACGAGAACCTACTGGTGGACAACAAATGGCTCTCTGATGTGCTTTTATGGCGAGGTAGCCTGCGCAGCTGAAGTCTAAAGTGATATCTGCGAATACCTCTAGTTTCTTAGTAGATAGGTTCTCTTGTCTGCGTCAACGGGTTCCCGTTGCCCTAGGCCACGAACGAGAGTAATTAAATCACTCAGTACTTCATGACGAACTTCATAAATGGGGGTGAGGTGTCAGAAATCGTTTGGTCCCACTTTTGTAGCTGGTCTTGCACTGAGGGCAAGTACCTGCGGCGGCGGAACCGCTTTCAAGAGAGACGGCCATGTAATCGGCTGCGCGACTTTTCCGCCATGGAAGGGGCAAGTAGCACATCCCAAGTACTGTAGCCCCATAATCTTCCAGGTGACTCTTGGTTCATTCCTCTAAGAAGGCCTTCAGGCAGGTCGTCTGAAGAAAGCAAGCCTTTCCTATCCCTTCGCATGGAGATATGGATCTGCCTTTCGGATTGTACATCGTTTGGAGTATATCATCGATATCATTGCAGCATCGTATCTTCTTCATCCGCGGCCTTCAATCTTCAATTGTGCAGAGAAATCTTTTCAATTGGGGCCACTCCAAGTGAAGACTCAGCGACGGCAGACTTGAACTAGCATTATGCAGGAGCTAGCAATAATCGAAGTTCTGTGCTGTTTCCTGGTGATTGTCTCAATGGCCAATTGATAGGATGTGGAGTAAAGAAGGGCTATTAAGCCTTATTCCTTGTGCAAAGTTACGACTAAGATGCGCCTCCAGCGTGTTGATTATAGCACAAACGGGTGCGCACTAAGAAGTTAGCAATTTGTGTCTCCATTTTTCTGTATGCAGCAAAATAGCAGAAGAATAAGAGTTACTGGTATACTTTGCCTCTGATTGTAACCAAGATTGGAGTCGCCGTGCTCTGTTGGGGCCAGTGCAGCATCGATGGGAGCAACGAGGGGAGGCGGGGTTGATTTCCGTTGATAGAGCCTCATTATTTACTGGCTCAAAGTAGTGAATCGCAATTGAGCCAATTATAAGAGAATCGATTTGACTTATGGCTAGAAGGGGGTTCACCAGTAAAGGAATTCATACAACAAGAGCAGTAATTATGACAAGAACAATCGGGGGTGAATCAGCCGACCCACAGCAGCAGTATGAGATCATCACGCCTCCGCTCCCCTCTTCTCCGTCGGTGTGCTCTATATAAGTAAGTGAGTTCCCTCCTCGCATTGCTTTCTCCCACTCACTGCACTAACCTTAGATTCACTACATCCTTCATCTACAATGGCAGCCCTCAAAGGCCTACGCTCAACCTACCGCCTGAACTCCGGCCATGAAATTCCCATTCTGGGATATGGAGTAAATCTTCGCCCCTCCCCCCCCCCGGTGCACCACTACCACACCACTAACCGCAGAAACCATGACAGGTCTACATGATGTAAGTCAATTCCTGCTTCAGCTGCATGCAAACGGCGCAGCGCTCACTCTGTCAAAGCCCCCAGTCCCAAACGGAAAAGGCCACCCTTGACGCACTCAAAATCGGCTACCGTCATGTATGCATGCGCCTTTCCCCCACTCTTCTCGCGACCCAGAGCTCAATCTAACGCGCTCCCTTCCAGGTGGACTCAGCAATCATGTACCGCAACGAAAAAGCCTGCGGCCGCGCCATCGCAAACTCCGGCCTCGACCGGTCGGAGATCTTCTTCACTACCAAGATCCCCCCGGAGAAGATGGGCTACACTCGCACCAAGAAGGCTATTGACTCCAGTCTGCGCGAGGCTGAGCAGGAGTACTTTGACCTGTGAGTTGTCCACACCCCCCCATCTCCCTCGACCAAGTATCGCTGGTATCGCGAGAAACTGCAGTGGAAGAAAAATAACAACGATGACAAGCATCCTTATTCACGCCCCCTACGGCGGCAAAGAAGACCGCCTCGGCTCCTGGCGAGCGCTAGTGGAGGCCCAGCAAGCGGGCAAGACGAAATCCATCGGGGTTTCCAACTACGGGGTCCACCATCTGGACGAGCTGGAGGAGTACATCAAGCATGGTGGCGGTGGGCAGATCGACGTCGGACAGTACGAGTTGCATCCCTGGTGTGACCGCCCCGAGATCGCCGAGTGGCTCCAGAAGCGCAACATCGTCGTCCAGGCCTATTCGCCTCTGGCGCACGGGACGAGGATGGGCGAGCGAGTACTCAAGGAATTGGGCCAGAAGCATGGCAAGTCGCCAGCGCAGGTCATGATCCGGTGGGGGTTGCAGAGGGTAAGTTATGGAACGAGTCTCTCTCATTGTTGCCATGTATCCCGGTCGAGTCAGTGCTAACATGCGACCTGTAGGGCTTTGTCCCCCTTCCCAAGTCGGTGACACCCAGTCGGATCAAGGAGAATGCCGAGGTGTTTGATTTCGAGCTGTCAGAGGAGGATATGAAGGCATTGCAAACGGGGGTCTACTCGCCCACGGACTGGGATCCGACGGTGGATTATGATTAGACAGCTGTGTGCATGAGATGGGGCATACCCCCAAAATCAATTTCCAGGGAAGGACGATAGTCTATAGACATGATCGACCAGACTGTGAGGTTGTTATCATAGGATGTACCGTACAGACCAGAGAGTAAATGAGAGTAGATGTAAGTGAGCGGGCGGGCCGAGTCGAAATCGCCGATCGGAACCTGAATTTAACCCCGCGGCGCGGGGTTTGGCTGCTTAGCAATTCATTCGCATTCGTCCGTTATCTTCCTCCACCCTCTTCGCATTTCTCCAATCCTTCCAAATCCTCATTCCCCTCCTGACTCCCACCCCCTTGCATCAGAAGTCCCTGCCCTGCACATATTGCAGGGTGCTCATACATCCATCACCATGAAACTCATCCTCTCCACCTCGTAAGTGGCAACCGCAGTGGAAAATCCCGGCACTCTCTCCTCCCCATTCCACCTCCGTTCCTCCTATCTCGGCCGTGAACCCGACGATCGCCCCGGGAGGAAAAAAAAAAAGACAAAAAATCCCAGTCCACCAACTCAACCAAACTAACACACTTCCAGAAATCTGATGCTAGGCGGCCATCCCATCATCCGCCAACTGACCGAAAAGTCCAATGTCGAACTGATCAACTCCCTACGTGCCAACTTCCAAGCCGCGCAGCAGCAGCAGCAGCGCAACGACGAGGCCACGACGACAACGACAACGAAAACCGAGCAGGGAGCACCGCGCTACGCATCGTGGACGAGGCAACACGACGACACCCTATACATCCCATCCACGGACTGCGGGTACGGGCTGTCCGAGGAGCGGTCGGCGTACGACATCACCGTCAAACTCTTCTACCTGCCGGGGATCCCGGCGTCGCGGCGGTGCGCGCACACGCGGGAGGCGATCGACCTTGTGCTTCGGGAGCTGCACGTCGACTCGATCGATCTGCTGATTGTCTCGTTTCCGGGGATCTTGTTCGATGCGGACGACGACAGCGAGGTGGAGGAGGAGGAGGACGACGACGACGAGGACGCGGGGTCGTCGGATGCCGGCAGCGAGGAGGATGACTTCGACAGTATCATCCAAACGTGGCGCACGCTGGAGGGGCTGCACGCGCAGGGGATGATCAAGCAGCTGGGCGTGGCGGAGTTCGGCAGCGAGCGGCTGGCGCGCTTCCTGCCGCACACCAAGGTCAAGCCGTCGGTGGATCAGATCAACCTCAAGGACTGCTGCGTGGTGCCCAAGTCTCTGATCCTGTACGCTAAGCAGGAGCGGATCCAACTGCTGACCCACAACGACTGCATGGACATCTTGCCCGTGGGCACGACCCGGGAGCTGCTGGGGCCCGGCCCCAAGGGCGCGGGCATCCTCGCTTCGGCGCCGGACGCGGACGATGGCATCCAGGGCGACGTGGCGCCGCAGTGGGTGGTCAAGTACACGGCGGTGGTGAAGGACCGCGGGGTGGTGGAGAACAAAGGCTACTTTGCGCTGGCGGACGTGGGCAGCTGCGTCAAGCCGTGATGTGATGATATTGTATCTATCTGCAAGCATTCCACGATTTGCATGGGACAGCGCGGCGTTTCTTTTCTTGTTTTTATGTTTATTCCCTTGAAACCTAGTGATGATGAATGAAGCATAGTTCTATCCATTTCCTCTATCCTCATCAACCCAGTCCCCGCCACACAAAGCAACCCCCCTCCCCTTTTCAGGTAAACGAAACAAGCCTCCTCAGCCCAACATACTCTTCTTCCTCCCGCGCAAGCGCACCTCCTCCAAGCGCTTCAACACCGATGCAGCCCCGCGATAACTAGCGCGATACCCCTCCAGCACCTCCGCGAAGAACGCCTCCGTGCGGGGATGCGTACTCCCAAACGCGCGTTCGAGCACATACAGGTCCACCGCGCGATCCTCATCCTGGACACTCTGACTCGCCAGGCCAAAATCAATGAGCACGACCTCACCCTCCAGATCCACCTCGCCTGCCCCCTCCCCCTCCCCGTCCCCCTGCCCGCTCTCCTTCTTGGGCCGCAGAATGAGATTACTCGTCGTCAGATCCCCATGGATCACCCCGGCCGCATGCAACCGGCCGACGGCGGCCCCAATGCGCCGCAGCAGATCCTTCATCCGCTCCTCCTCGCGCTTGCGCTCCACATGCCCGTTGTCGCCCTGGTCGCCATCCACCTCCATCTCCCCGTCGGCCTGTCGCCGCCGAGGGTGCTGATCTGCCGCCGCGAACCGCGCCAGCATCGCCCGCTCCCACGCCTGCACCACCACCCGCACCACGTCGCCCTCCACCCACTCCATCAGCAGCCACGCCCCGCCGTACCGCTCCGCCCCCGTGGCGGCGTCGACCACCACCGTCTGCCCCTCCCAGTCCACGGCGTACAGCGCCGGCACCGCCACCCCCTCGCGCACGAGCTTGGCCAGACACCGCGCCTCCTGGAGGATGCGCTGGCGCGTCAGGCGCCGGTCGAGGATCGGGTGGCGGTACGGTTTGGAGGGCCGGATCTTCAGCGCCGCCGGGTGGGTGGTCGCGTTCAGGTAGTGCGTTTTGTAGAGATGGGCTTCGGCGCCCTGCGTGAGGAGGATCGGCGGGGGTAGCGTTGTAGTGCTTGTGGTGGTGGTGGTAGCTGTTGATTGTGTGCGGTGGTTGTGGTGGTGGAAGGGCGGGGGGAGAGGTGGGGGTTGGTATTCTTGAGTCATCTTGTTTGTTCTTGATCGGTGGGAGGTCGGTCGAGGTCGGGTGAGTTCGTCTGAGGATAAAGAGGGGCGTAACAAGGTATGCGGATAGGTGGGTAGGTCAAGTAATGACGAATTGATGTTGAGGTGAAACGAGAAAAAAATTAAGGTAGGTTGAAGTTGTATAGACAGTGGCAGAAGAGGAACGGCCATGCGAAAAGTTCTGGCGGGGCCCCCTCCTGCCCGCCGCGGTTATTAAGCGCTGTCCGCATTTGGCTGTCAACTACAGCACTGCAGACTACAGTACACATGTAAACCATCTAAACCATCTATGCTGTTATACTGTCGACACGCAAATTTGCTACTTCTGCACTCACTACTCTCATACGCCCTTAAATCAAGCAATCATCCATGATATCTTATTCAGACTCGTTGAATCGTCTTTCGTCTGCTCGTAAGATACATACAAGACAGCCGCCTACCTCGCGGTAATCGCTAAATCATGACTGTACAGTACACTACTAAACGCCTGGTATGCGACCGACTTTTCCATGTCCAGAATCAAATCCCTTTTATACAAGCCTCCTCCCGGCCTCAAGCCCGCCCCTTGCGTTTCGCCCGCGCCCGCTCCAGAGGTGCCTCGTAGACATCCGTCCACGCGTCTTCGAACGTCGTCTTCCTCGGCCCAATCTGGCCCTCGAAGAAGTTCATCTTGCGCACAACTTCCATGGCCCCGGTACCCAGCGACACCGTCTTGCCCATGATGATACACTCAGACACACCCTCGATCAGATCCGTCCGGCCGGCACCACCAGCATCGAACAGATGATCGGCGGTCTTTTCGAAGGAAGCCAGCTGCAGGACCGAGTCACGCATCTTAGCGAGACCAAATCGCGTAATACCCAAGACTTCACCCTTGTAGGTCATGACGTCGGCCAAAAGCTGCATGTGTCGGGGATCGATGTCCATGTCCTTCATGACCTCGCTGATTTCCTGGACGATCGTCGACCGGGCCGCTTCGATACCGAGCACTTCGCGCATCTCCATAATGTTATTGGTGGTCGTGCGAAGGCCGTCAACACCCATCGTGGTCATGCACGCCCTCAAACCGTAGCCTTCCACCAGAAGGGTGTTGGTAGTCGACGTCTCATCCGTTCGGATGATCGCACGGTAGGCCTGGGGGTGACCAAGCACCTGGATATCAGGAAGCATCCGCTTCAGGTGCTTCAACCGCAGGAAAGGATCCGCACTTGTGTGCGCAATCTCAGTCTTAGATAGAGATGCTTTGCTAGACGGCTCAACATCCATGTAGACGTGGATGTGTGAGCGCGAGCATCGGAACTTGAGATCGTCCGCCTTGAACCGCTTGTGGCTCTTGATCGCAGCCAGAATGTTCTCGATCTTCAGCTCCAGCGCCAAATCCTGGATAGTCTTCCAGTTGATCTTGACGGTAATGTAGGCTTCCTTGCCGGTCCATGTCTCGCGAACATAGTGGATAATGTCGCGAAGATACGTCTGCTCAATACGACCCTTGACGATACGGGCGGCAATGATGTTGTCCTTGGTGACCAGCTCGCAAGCAACGACAGGCGTACTGATCTCCTTGGAGGCATTGATGATTTCCTTGATACGGGGGACACCCTGAGTGATACTCATACCGGCGACACCAGCAAAGTGGAAAGTCTTCAACGTCATCTGCGTACCGGGTTCACCGATAGACTGCGCACCAACAGCACCAACAGCATGGCCAGCTTCAACCTGAGCCTTCTTATACTTCATCAAGCACTCCGTGATGAAAGTCCGCAGGGTGCGCTCAGTCAGCTTGCCCGTGTGGTTCAGACCCTTTTGACTCCTTTCATCAGATGGATCGATGTCACCACCGCGAGAGATCAGCTTGTCCGCCTTGGTCGCAACGTACTGCTGAATGGACTCGAGGAAATCACGGGCACTCTCGAATTGGTCAATTCCGTGATCACTACGGTCCATGTAAGCCAGAGTGTTGCCCATCAGATCCTTCCGCACCAGCTTGGCACGTTCTTTCGACAGCATCTCCTCGCAGACTTCCATGATTTCAGCAGGAAGCAGACTCGGCTCTTCATTCGAATAAGTAATGGATTCGGAATGGATGAAAGTCCGGTCAAAGTGAACGGGCTTGGCCTTGCCCTCCATATCCACTGGATCCAGCTTGTCGTCACCATACTGGAACTGGACAATCGCTGCGGACGAGTTACGGACGGTATCATCGTATCTGGTGGAAAGATCTTCCAGGGACTTCATCAACCGACGAGACATATAACCGGTTTCGGCCGTTTTGACGGCAGTATCGACCAAACCTTCACGACCGGACATGGCGTGGAAGATGAATTCCGTAGGGGTGAGACCCGAGAAGAAACTGTTCCGCACGAAACCCTTCGATGGAGGCTGACGGGCATTCTTCGGGAAATGAGGCAAGGTTCGGTCTTGGAAGCCGTCCTGCACACGTTGGCCACCAATAATCTGCTGACCGACAAGGGCAACCATCTGAGACACGTTGATGCTAGAACCCTTCGATCCAGACGTGGCCATGATCAAAGGAGAGTTGTACTTGCTCAATTGAGCGATACACTCGTCACCAGCCTGCTGACGGACCTTACTGAGAATACCAGACAACTGGTTCTCCATAGTTTGCAACTCGTCACAACCAGGATACTTCTCAAGCGTACCGGCCTTGTACTTGGCAATGACTTCGTCACAGGCTGCGTATGCAGTCTCGACCAGGTCGTGTTTCGAGCGCAACAGCTTCTCACTGGGATAAACGTCGGTGATACCGATGGAGAAGCCCATGTTTGTGAACCAACGGGCCGACAGTTTTGACAAGCGGTTCATACCCTCGGCAGCCGCCGCTGGACCATAATCTCTCAGCATGATATAGAACACGTTGTCCTTCTTTCCGGAACCGATAGTGGACTTATCCATCACACCACACATGACCTCGGAGTTACGAATGACGAGCCAACCATCCTTGGGGTCGAGATCCTTGGGTCTTCCATCCTTTGGCATCTTGAATTCTCTGCAGGCGGCGTCCAGGTTGACCAAGCATGGGTCATCCTTGTTCGGCCGCATGAGGATGTTGAAGACTTGCTTTCCAGTCCACAGCATCTGGGGTTTCAGCACGGAGGGAGGGGGAAGATCGAAGCGGGTTTGAGGACCAAGCATGTAGAGACAGATCTGGGTGAACGAGCGACGGTCGAAGAAGTTGTCCTTGCTACTGAGGACGTAAGCAGCACTGATGAAATCCTGAATAGCAGAGATAATAGGCTCTCCGTTCTTGGGCGTGGCCAAGTTGTTCTTGACACCCATAAGTTCCATGGCTTCAGCGCGCGCTTCTTCCGTCTGGGGAACGTGCAGATTCATCTCGTCACCGTCGAAATCAGCGTTGTAGGGGTTGCAGACACATTCGTTGAGACGGAAAGTCCGGTGAGGGCGGACTTTCGCAAAGTGGGAGAGGATACTGAGCTTGTGCAGGGACGGTTGGCGGTTAAACAGAACAATGTCACCATCCTCAATATGACGCTCGATAACATCTCCCTCCTGGAGCTGGTCTGCAATCATGTTCAAGTTACCATACTTGAGGAAGAGCTTAAACGTCTGACCCTTCTTGGTGATATAGTTCGCTCCAGGCCACTTTTTCGTTCCGTTGCGAACTCTCTGCTGCAGCTTCTCTTTGTTGTAGCGAGTCACAACTTCCGGGTAGGTCATGTTCTTCGCCACAAGCTCGGGAACAGCGACCTCGTCGACGCGCAAATTAGGATCGGGAGAAATGACCGTACGACCGGAGAAGTCGACACGCTTTCCAGACAAGTTACCACGGAAACGACCCTGTTTTCCCTTCAAGCGCTGGACAAAACCTCGGATGGGCTTTCCCAGATCTGCCTTGTTCAGACCCGGAACGTCACTGTTGATGTACACGGCAATCTGCAGCTGCATGTAGTCCCAACACTCCATGATGGTCTGCACTGGCGCACCCTTCAGCAGCGCATTCTTGAGGTTGATGTTACTCTGGACGATATCTCCCAATTTGGCAGTCAAGTCGTCCTCAGTGGAGGCCGCGTCTTGACCAACGGAAGGACGAATACAGACTGGGGGAGCAGGGATGAACTGCCAGAGAAACATCTCCGGTCTAGCCTCCTTCGGATCTAGACCCAGCAATTCACAATCCGTATCGGAGATCTTCTTGAACAGGTTCAGCACGCGCAGGGCGTTCATATCATCCTGAGCCTTCTTGTAATGCTTTTCGACCTCGGCATTTGATGTACGCGCTTCGTCGAAAGATCGGTCAAAGACAATCTTGCTGGGCGGGGGCACCTTCTTGACGGAAGTCGAGGCGTTGAAGGCACGGAATTTGTCGTGGGTGATCTTCAGCGCGCTGGTACCAGCCTTCTTGACCACACCGTTCACGGCACCGCAGTTCTCGCAGTTGCGGGTCTTCTTGCACCGCTCGTTGATGCGCTTCGCAATCTGCATCCGTCGCAAGTTGTCCAGGCCGGGGCGACGCATTTCGCGGAGGAAGGCACGGCGATCGGCTTCGGGGAGGAGGATGTGGGAGCATTCTTTGCAGATTTCCTGGAGAATGGTGATGACTCGCTTGAAATAGCCGACGTGGAAGGAAGGCAGGACGAGCCTGACGTGACCGAAGTGTCCGTTACAAATTTGGAGGGCGCCACCACAGGTTTGACATGTCGAGGTCTTGTTCGAAATACCCATGCGCGCGTCGAGGGGGCCATTGGCGACTACGGCTCGGTCGTGCTCGAGATCAAAGAATTTCCGGTCGGAGACTTCCACCACACCTTGGCTGACGATGTCGTCGTTGGACCTTCGTAAGACAGAGTCAGCATCCCCTCTCCAGGTTGCTTCCGCGACACACGAAGACGAGGCGGGGAGGGGGTGAAACAGGAATGAGTTAGGAACCCCAGAATTACTTACAGGACACCGAACTTCAGTTCCTTGATAACTTTGGGGACGCGGTCAATGACCTGGGCCTTGCCCAGGTCGACCTGCACACCTTCTGGAGGCTGCATCACGGTGGTCAAATGATGATCATGGCAAGATGACAGTGACTCAGCGGAAATGGATGCGACGGCGCTGGAATGGGTGCGCTCGCAAGAAGTAATCACCGCAGTAGTCGTGAAGGAAAACTGTCAAGTCAAGCGGCACGCCACCTCAGACCAGTGGGTAGGTAAAATCGGAGAAAAGACGGCGACGACGGGAGGGGAGGGGGGAGAAATTGCAGACCATTGCGGCGGCGGGGTCGGCGACGACGAACTTTTCTGCGGTTAAATTGGAAGCTCCGTCCGAGGCCAGCTTCCCCCCGGTCCGTCCAATCACAGTGCGCGGATACGGCTGCGGCATTCTTCACTCTATTCAGTCTACTAATTATTACTCGGTAATACCTGTGCATTTATACCGTGGGCATCATGGATTGATGGATTGAAACAAAAAAAACACGTATATATGGTATAAGCTATATGTTAAAAACTATGGTACAGTTGATCTTGAATCCACCCTGCTATTGCTGCCTTATTTCGACAAGAAATTCTGGAATGCCTTCTGTTCAATCACCACATTGCCCACAGCCCGGAGTCTCTTGCGACCCTCCTTCTGCTTCTCCAACAGTTTGCGGCGTCGACTGACATCACTAGCATGAAGCTTGGCCAAGACATCCTTCCGGTAGGGCTTCACGGTCTCACGAGCCACGACCTTGCGCCCAACAGCTGCCTGGATAATAATCTCGAAGAGTTGGCGGTCCACATGCTCCTTGAACTTCGTCACCCACTGACGACCAAGTCGATCCGCTTGGCTGTAGTGGACGATGCGAGCGACAGCATCTACAGGGGCTTTGTTGACCAACAGCTGCAGCTTGACGATGCTGCTTGGTCTCCAGGCCGACTCTTCGTAATCCAGCGAGGCATAGCCCTTCGTGTTACCCTTGAGCTTACCAAAGAAGTCGTCGACCAACTGCGCCAAGGGAAGTTCGTACTTAAGAATGACCTGAGTGGACGTGAAGTACTCGAGGCTCTTCTGTTCTCCACGGTTGTTTTCACAGAGTTCGATGACCTTTCCAAGGTACTCATCCGGGAAAGTCAGTGTAGCCGTAACGTAGGGCTCGTGAAATTCCAGAACCTTCGCGCGTGCGGATTCGTCGTCGGGGAATTTGGCCGGGTTGCTGATGATCTCCTCTTTGCCGTCTTTGTATACAATCTTCACGGGCACTGACGGAGGAGTAATGATAATACTGGCTCCGTGCTCCTGGCGCAGACGATCCTCGAAAACAGAGCAGTGAAGAGTTCCCAGGAAGCCCAAGCGGAAACCAGCACCCAAAGCCTCTGAGGACTCCTTCTGCACTGTGATACTTCTGTCATTCAACATGAGCTGGTTGATACTGTCCTCCAAGTGCTCGAAATGATCTGCATCGACAGGGTAGGCGGCCACGAAAACCATCGACTTAGGTTCTTCAAAACCCGGCAGCGCTTCCACAAGCTTTTCCGATCCCACTTTCGTGTACGTATCACCGATCTTGGCTTCCTTACTCCGCTTCATGCCCGGGTTGAAGTAGACGTAGCCAACTTGGCCAGCACGAAGCACCGTCTGTGGGGTCTCATTGGGGTACATGATACCGACTTCACCGACGTAATACTTGAGTCCGGTAGCGAAAGAAACAAGCTGGTCTCCCGCTCGGATCTCGCCGTCAAACACACGGACCAAGCAAATCACGCCCTTGTAGGGATCGTACCAGGAATCGACGAGGAGCATGCGCAGGGGCTTGGTGAAGTCACCGACAGGGCTGTTTAAATCAGCTCTGATCATCAGCCAGGAAAGGGGCTAGGGATGCATACGCTGGGATCTTGTCTACAACCGTAGGAAGCAGCTGCTCCACGTTGAGACCGGTCTTGGCCGAGACCAACACTGCGCTCTCCGTGTCCAGTTCGAAAGAATGCTTCATCTGCTCCAGAGCACGCTGGGGGTCGGCCGAGGGCAAATCCACCTTGTTGATGACGGGAATCAACTCCAGACCCTGTGAGAAAGCGAGATAGAAGTTGGCAACGGTTTGCGCCTGAATGCCCTGACTGGCATCAACCAAGAGCAAGGCGCCTCCGCAACTGGCGTAACTGCGCGAGACCTCCGCACGGAAGTCCACATGGCCCGGGGTATCGACAAGATGGAGCAGGTAATCCTCTCCCTTGTGGTTGTAGATCATCGTACATGTCTGCGCCTTGACTGTGATACCACGTTCCCGTTCCACATCGAGCTTGTCCAGCACCTGCTTGTTACTTCCAGGTTGGATCGTACCCGTCAACTCCAGCAGCCGGTCGGACAGCGTGCTCTTTCCATGGTCGACGTGGGCAACGATGCAGAAATTGCGATATCGATCGATCGGGATAGCGGCGATTCTGTTCTCGAGATCCGATTTATGGACAGCGGAACCTCTGGCGGAGCGTGATGCGGAGTTGGCGAAAAACCGAACGGAGGAAGAAAGGCCGAATGGCTGCTGGAATAGGCTAGCAGCAGAGCACTTTGGCGCTGCGCTCAGCCACCTGGCTAACTGCAGGCATCCTCGCATTGGGAGGTCTGCACTTGCATGGGAGTGAAGCGTTTGATGGTGGGGGAGGGAGGGTATGGGTTGGTCAGTGGGCGAGATCTTGCGGGCGGGAAAAAAAGGACGGCTTTTGCGGAGACGCTCGATTTGCGCGGGCGGTGGACTGAATTGCCGCGGCGACAAATGGTGTAAACAAAGCATGGTAGAGTCCGTCACTTTTCCCACTGCATCTGCATCTCTTGCCTCCAACTTACAGCATCCGAACCCCTCTCTTCATATCGCATTATACCACTATGTCGGCTGCAAAGGACAAATCCAAGATTCACAAGCTGTCCTTGAAAGGTACGATCCATGGTCTCCTAAGACAGACTAGTGCAGCACGCTCACGGACAGATAGGATCGGCGAAGCTGGTCGCAGAATTCGTGAGTACTTTACCAAGTGATATGGCTTTTCAGTTTCGGTATCTAATATACATAGTTTGAATACTCCATCAATTCTATTCTGTAAGCGTTTGTTTGATAATGGCCTAGCCTACATCGCCCATTGACACTTCGACCAGTTTCCAGCGGGGTGTGTATCCTCCGGAGGACTTCACTACGTAAGTCTACTCTACCCGAACTCATCGAGGAACCTCTTTCTAACTAAATCTTCCTACAGAGTCAAGAAATATGGCCTCAATATGCTCGGTTGGTCTATCTCCATCAATCTATGCCTTGGATCCCTCCATTGATCAAGCCCAGTCACCTCCGACGACCAAGTCAAAGCCTACATCAAGAAGATCATGTCGCAATTGAACAAGTGGATGATGGGAGGGAAAATCTCCAAACTTGTGGTTGTGATCACAGACAAAGAGACTGGAGAGCACGTGGAGAGATGGCAATTTGACGTACGCCTGAGGTCTCCCTCCCCAAGCATACGAAGACTAACCGGGAGCACCAGGTCCAAATCTTCGGCAGACACTCTAAGAGCCACTCTTCCAAGTCGACTGGCGACAAAGAGAACGCTACCCCCGGGTACAGATTTGATCCTTCTTTCCCGATTACACCAGCTAACCAGTACCCTCACAACAGCGACAAGGAACCCCAACCCGCCACCGTGGAGAAGACCGAGAAGGAGATACAAGAGGAAATCCAGGCGATCTTCCGGCAAATCACCGCCTCCGTGACCTTTCTGCCCGTGCTGAACGGATACTGCACCTTCAATGTCCTAGTGTACGCGGACGCCGACTCCGAGGTCCCCGTCGAATGGGGCGACAGCGACGCGAAAGAGATCAAGAACGCGGAGAAGGTCCAACTCCGGAGCTTCAGCACGAACAACCACCGGGTCGAGACTCTGGTCAGCTATCGCCTGGCTGATTGATTTAGATTCCTTGTTTTTTGTTTCTTCTTTCAAACGGCGTTGTGGGAATGAGAAAGGCGGAGCAGCATCTGGGACATTTGACATACACATATTTCGGGGACCTTCATACATCAAACCCATGTATTCTTTGCAAAATCGCACACAATGAACGACTTTAATGAGCCAGAGCAGTCCTTTCAGCGACCGCCTATCGCTAACCGTACCAAGGCAATTCCTCCAACCTATCGAACCACTCATTCCCAGTCCTCCCTCCCTTCCACCGAATCAACGCCGCAACCACCCCCTCCAACCCATCGACCACCCCCAAAACCCCCTCCTCCATCCCCACCGTCCACCCCCTCGCCACCCTCTTCCCCCCCAACACCCGCCCAACCCCATACCTATCCCCCCTCCACAACCCAATCCCCCTCTCCTCCTCCCCGGCCACCAACTCCCGCAACGGCGTCACCTCCTCCGGCGGATTGATGCCCACGATCTCGACCGCGACCCTCGATCCGACGCCTCCCAGCCCGACCGCCGGAAAATGCACCTCGGCGAACCGCGCCCGCTTGAACGCATGCGTCACCACCGTCACCCGCGTCGGGTAGCGGCCTGCCACGGCACGGAACCGAAGCAGTGAGAACAGGACATTCTGGTAAGAGTCCGTGGCGAGGTTCTCGGCGACGACCCGGGCGGAGTGGATGGTCGGGGCGAGTTGGTAGTAGCTGTTGGCGCGGGCCAGGTTCTAGTTGGTTTGTTAGTATGTATGTGACAGTTGGGCTTGTTTGCGTGAGAATGTGGGGGGTTCGTCGGTTCTTGCTGCTTTTTCTTTTCTTGGAAGTATCATTTTATTATGGAATGAATTATGGGCACAGCCCTGATCAGGTGGACAGAGACAGACGGGTACTGTGCTATGAGCTAGGCAGGAACTTACAAGATACGATTCTCCTTCCGCTAGGGCCGTGCGGGTTGGCTTCGTAGGACCTCTGTATATATGTACACCCCGTCATCCCGATCAGTTTGATTCCCGTATGTCCCCTCTTCTCTTGGAGACCGCCTAGCCCAGATTGAGGGTACTCTCCGGCGGGGGAGATCATGATAGAGATAGCGGGGTTAGGTGGACATACCCCGAGAACACAAGCAGGCTCTCCGGATCCTGGGCTGCGAGATGGAGGCCCGCCTTGACGTGTGCAGTGAACGTGGGCGTTTCGCCCTTTTGGAAGGGTTCGATTTCCCTTCACAGTGTCAGTATGCGGAGCTGGGTCCCTTGCACGACCAGTCAAACAGAACTTCAGACGTAGTGTACAACACTGACCATTCGTCCTCGGAGAGGCCGTGGGTTGGGCCACCCTTGTATATGGCGTGGCAGCAGACGATGATTAGGTGGCTGAGCGGGTGGGTCATCATCGGGGACTTGGTGCAGTGGTGGGGATTGCGTTTCTGTTGCAGGTTTGGGAATTGGGATAGAGCTGGATGATAGAGAGGCTTGGAGACTACTCTACATAGCACGCACGCAGTTGATACAGCTACCTACAAATCCAAGCACTTGACCGACCGTTCGGGCTTGAGTGTATTACCTAAGCCGATAGTCTCGGTGGCTACCCAGTATACTACTCAGCTGGACTGGGTCTTGACAATTTGACCAGGATAGTGAGCGATATCGATGTTGGTCGAAGCATGTACGAAGGGAGAAGCTTAGGAGCAATCTCTAACAGACCGAATTCGTCCGTTTGAAGCCGGCCTCATATCGAGGATCTTCCAGCTAAACATCATTAATATACATATCGATCTGATTTGAAAACCATACATCCATATATGGCTGTGCCCCAGCCGAGCAACGTGAACGATCCGATGGAAAGGTAGGATGGTGATGAAGAATAGGAAAAAGAAAACAAACAAGAAAACCACGAAAGAATGTCATTCACGATCAACAAACTCCATGCGAATCCCATGTATGATATGCAATCACAGAGGTAACTATGGTATCATGTCATCAACACACAGATGGTTGCAAGGAAAACCAGCTTGCCAGACATAATGACGCCGAGAATTGGCAACAGCAGAGGCGTATGCAGGGGTACAGTGTACATTTAAAAGAGTAAGTATTTTTTGGTGTCTGCCGAGCAAATGCAATGGTGTATAAAAAATGGAAGGCATGAAAGGCGTCGGCAGAGGGTATCAGAAGATGAAGCGGGGGAAAGAAAAAGTACGTTTAAATCAACGGATCGTGGCGATATGTGCAATCATCACCTTTGCGGCATTTCCCGCTCTGCCAATACCGGCAAGGTACAGATCCTGCCTTGGGCTATCTGCTAGTTAGATCGTTGCCTGCATGATGAACGGATTATCCAAGAGATACTTACGTGCTTCTTGCCAAGGTCATTAAACTTGTTCCGCTTGGGATAGCTGTACCTGTCATCATCGGTCCCATCATATCCACCAGACTCGCGAAGACGCTTGCGCTCCGGGTCCTCATAATGCCCCGACTGTTGAGGCGGGTTGCCCGTGGGGGGCTGGTTCTGGCCATTGATTTGGGAGAAAATGGCAGCGAGGTTAGGCGCAATGCCGGGTTGAGACGGTGGGGCTTGCGGGGCAGTGACTGCCGGCTGGATCTGCTTTTGTGCATTCATAATGGCCAGGATATTTTGGAGATCAATGCCCTGACCTGTTGCAGGCTGAGGAGCTGTAGGGAACTGGGGCATCTGCAACATGGGAGGTTGAGAGGTTGGCTGCGGCTGCGGCTGGCGGAACATGCTGAAAGTCCGTTCAAGATCTGAGACGCGCGCGGCTGCTGGCTGGGTCTCGGGGGGAGGGGTTGATTTTGGTTGCTGGGGCGCACTCCGAATAATCTTGAGAAGGTTCGAAATATCGAATGGCGCTTGGGCACCTGCTACGGGCGCGGCTGTAGGTGGCGGCTGAGGTTTGACCGCAGCGAAATATCGGTTTTGACGGGCCTGCAGAGCTTGTTGTGAGCACGCAGTCGGTCGGCTGCGACATGCAAAAATAGAATACGCACCTTGACATGATCCGGAACCTCGCCAAAGGAGACCGCATCAGTTGTGAGGTCTTCATAGTCGGGTTGCGGGGGCTCTTTGGGCGTTGACGGCACGTCCGCAGGCGAAGTATAGAACACCGTCAGGGTGGTTGCCTCACGATGCTCCTGAGCCTTCCTCTCCGCACTTTCTGGAACTTCATTACCACCACGCTTGATGTAGTTCAAATGACGTTCTTCGTTAGACATGTCCTCGAAGTCAATTTCTAAATGATTGTCAGTGATTCAAATGTTCAACACTCGAGCATCTTCCGTGAGACTTACCGGACGGCAAAAAATAATCGAGCAACTGCTCCTCGCGTATGCCACCTTCTTCGTCTTCTTCCTCGTCGAGATCACGGTGGAGCTTCAGCACGCTACCTTCACCCTTCACATCACCCGCTTCACGCTGCATGTGATCGCCGGGACCGAGCTCCTCATCAGGGTCATGGGTGAAAAGCCGGACTTCAGTAAGCGACTCATCGGGCTTCCAGGTGACTCGCAACCGGCGTCGAGCCTCCTTACGAAGGCGCTTCTTCCGTTCTTCTTCCGTCTCGGGCGACTTAGGTTCGGACGGCTGAGCAGGAGTCGTCTCCTTCGGCTTGTTCAGGTCTGCCATAAGGTCCCCAAACGAGAAAGTTGGTCGCGGAGGTGCAGGCTGGGGTTCTTTCCTTTCCGGGGGATTGCTGCTTGGAATTTATTAGCCACTCGGTCGTGTCACCAGTGTCATCTCGTGCAATCATCTCACCTGGTCTTCGCCGCTGCAGCCGCTGCTCGCTCAGCATTGGATGTTCCCGGTCGTTTCGAGGCCGACGAAAGACTCCCAAACAGATTGGTTGGCTTCGGCGCTACAATGTTAGTCTTCGGACGAGAGGGCTGCGCTGCTGCCGCTGCCACTGCCTTGTTCTCTGGGCCTGCTTCATGTGGTCGCCGCGCAGGTGCCACAGCGCCAATGGGCTTCGCAGCAACCTTGGCATGAGACGCCACGACTACTCGCTTCGTCGCCGGCTGTCCATTGTTCTCGGCATCGCGAGGTCGTTTAGATCCAGCTAGTTCTGCCCGGGTGCCGTCGGGAGCAGCCGTAGCAGTGACAGTGCTTGTTTGCTTACTAGGCGAGCCGTCCTTGGCCGCTGGCTTCGCAGTCTCCTGTTTCCTTCTGGTGGAAGCCGCAGCATTGTCCATGATCTTCTGCGCCAATTCTCTGACAGATGGACCACCCTTCTTGACAAATCTAGGTAGCAGCTTGGCAACATTGGTCTTCTGTAGCACATCTTCGTCCATGGTAACAAAGCGCGAAAGCAACTACGAATAGAGATCAGCGTTGTCAAATCATGGGTTAATGAGCGGCATCGCTTACCTTAAGTATATTCACAGTCAATGTCCCGTTGATATCAGCAGCCTGGTGTCGGTCCAGCAAGAACGAATACAGGGCTGCCACGGCTATGGGATGTTCACCCAATCTGTAAACGTCAGTGATCTATTTTCCTCTGGAATATTGCAAACAAGCTCAAGCAACAACAATATAGAGTGACAGTGTATGCAGCCTCCCCCCCCGGGGACTGGTGGAGCCAAGCCGGTGGCCAGCCCATACTCAACGAGCATTGCGGAAGCACCCAGTCTTTATCGGCAGGGACCAATTTCTTTGTTCTCGAAAGGGGGGAACCTCCTAGTCGTGTTTGTTGCCTTGATTAAGGACCAAAGGACTCGGCCAGGTAGGACTCTCCATTCTGAGGGGTGAGCGTTATTCACCCTTACTGACAAACACTCCTTTAATAGATGCCAAAACCCACACTAGGTAGACTACATGGGAAAGGCTCATATTTCGTTTCTGACCTCTAAAGTCACGACGGCAACGACTCGCTAGGTGCGGCAGGGGAAAGAAGCGAAAAGGGAAAAGAAAAAGAAAAAGGACATACTTCTCGACGATTATTGGATGGCCCGTTTCCAAAGTCGCACAAACGACCACATCCATGAGACGGCGCTGTAAGACCGCATCCTTCTTCAGCTGGGCTGCTTTATCATTATTGCCTTCATTCTCGGCCGCCTTCATGGCTTGGGAGCTGTCTTTCCATGCATCCCTTACGGTTTTCACAACGTCTTTGAATGCGACCAGCGCACTCTTAACCTTGTCCACATTGGGCCGTCGATTACGTGGAGACCACACGGCCTTTAGAGCATCATACTTCGCAGCAGCTTCGGGCTCGCTAGGGCGAGAGGTTGGCAGAGGAGACGGCTCTTCGGGTGCCCGATCCTCGATCTCAAGCTCCGAGTCCGAGCTGTCGGTCTCTGATTCCGAAGAGTCAGCTGTCCCGTCCACCTTCTTACTACTTCCCTTGGCGGTCGTCTTTTTGGACTGAGAGGTTGGCTGTTTCTTCGTTGCCGACTTCTTTGCCGTTTTACCGCCCTTTGCAGCCGCTAGTGATTGAGTCAGATTGGGACCTAGTTCGTTCAGCGGAGTCTTCAGCAACTGAGGTGCAACGCAACATACCATTGAGAGGTAACACAAACTCGTATGCAGATTGCGGTTTGGGGGCAATCGGTTGGCTATGCGCTGCGGACTGCCCCATTGCGGGCGGCATTTGCAAGTCTTCGCGATAGAACGGGTATAGCCTTGATATTGTCAGGGAGCGCATACAACTGGACAAGGCAAGCGAGATAGACATACTTTGGTTCATCTGTGCGATCGTATTCAGATGGGTTCAGGTAGAGAAGGGTATTAGGGTGAAGGGCGGCCTGTCGATTAGCAGCAGCTTGCTGTGCAGAACTGAGGAACTGTGGGTTGATGGTTTGACTAGAGACGGTGGGAGTAGACTGAGTGAACTCAGTGTTGTAACCCATCGGTACGTGCTTGAAATCAGTTAGTACAGCTTGTAAGAGTTCACAGAAGAAGAAAAGTTGACATACGAAATTTCCTCCAGCATAGCCTGTAGGTAGTGAGTATTGCGGGACATGGTGTTGGTGTGGATCGGGTCGGAAATGAGTCGCTTCAGGCTGTGGCTGCGCCGCGGGAGGAGAACGCAGATGAGATTGAGGAAAGACATCAGGCACTGGCACGTTCTGAGGATAGTAGGATCGAGGAAATGTGTAGGATGGGAAGTGAGCGCTGTCGGATGTGGGGAGCGGCTGCGTGTCATATGCAGGATGTGCTGAGGAAAATTGCGGTGCTTGACGATATTGCGAAGTCATCCCGATAGGATGTGCCGTTGCCGGTAGGATGGGCTGTGGATGTAACGCAGCTGCTCGCCATGACTGCGGGGTAGTGGAGGAATACAGGCCGTGATTCTGATCTTGAGGGGTCGGCAACGGACTCCGCGATGGAGGATTCTGACCAAAAACCGGATGATCCCAGCTAATTCCTAGCGGCTGAGGTGAT